TTTCGATTTTTATCGATATACTTTTTCAATATATAATTTTCTACCTGACAAAATCATGCATGGAAAACAGGATAAAACTTGACGTTTAACGCACTGATTAAGATCGAAGCGGGCAAAAAATTGTGACAAGCAACGCTCGCAGAATTTTTTTATGAATAAATATAATCATTTTTGACTAATTGTATTAAGATTGATTTCGATTGGAAAAATTTAAGAGTGTATACGAGCGATGATAATTCCACCCAAAAAATTGTACCAAAAATTCGTCCCAAGGTGTAAATAATCATTTAAAAATGTTTCTAAAACAGCCACATATGAACAGTATTTGTGTGTACATTGAATGCTAATTTTTATCAGATTGATGCACACTGAAATTTGAGCGACCAAATACGAAGCCAATTTTAACAAAAACCTTCCTGCTGATTTTTGCACATTTGTTCGATTTAAACGTAATTAGCCGCACATCATCAGATGATAAAATCTTCATCCACTGCTGGTATAAAATAAAGTAATAGACCCAAGAATTTTAACAAGTGATGATCCCAACTCCTTATATTTACATGTAATTTCGACCTAATTAGCTATGTATTTCTTAATTTATACTGCGCAAAGAACTGTGCCACTATATGCTTGCTCAAATATTATTGATTTACTGCCGTGCATCCTCTAATAAAAACAGTACAATAATAATTTTGGAGAAGATGTGAGCATTGAGCAGTGAGCAATTGAGCGATATGCTTCTGGCCTAATAACTATGCTAGCAGAGGTGGGCAATAGCGCGCTACATGTAGCGGCCGCTGCTATAGCGGCCACTATATACATTTTCATTAGCGGTAGCGGCGCTGCATTTTCAGTAGCGGTAGCGGCGCTACAGTTAAGCAATTGTAGCGGTAGCGGTAGCGCTTGCTACATTTAGAGCATGTAGCGGAAGCGATAGCGGCCGCTACATTTCAAAGTAGCGCTTCCCAGCTCTCTATACTGCTGAGGCCCGCCATGATAATATAGTATATAACAGAAACAAACAAACAAACAAACAACAAGAAGCGAAGTTAAGAGAAGGGTTTTAATAATATGCGTTTAAAATTTACCTTTTAAAGACAACACTTCTAAAGAATCCAGTGTCTCCGATGTTACACATGTACAATAAATTTAAAATTTTATTTTCATATATAAAAAAATATTTATTAATTTTTTAATATATAAAAACTTTAAATTTTCACATTATTTATTCTGTCAGTTGATTCATGCATTCTGTCCAACTTTACGCACGTGTGTAAAATTTCACATCGATTGGAGAGGTAGAAGTGTGTTAAATATTGATTATAAGATTTGGAGCAGACAAACAAACAAACAACAAGAAGTGAAGTTAAAGAGAAGGGCTTTATAAATATACGTTTAAAAATCACTTTTTAAAGACAACACTTCTAAAGAATCCAATGTCGCCAATGTTAAAGATGTACAATGAATTTCTCATTTTATTTGCGAATATTAAAAAAAAATAATTTTTCAAATTTTTATTATATAAAATATTTTAAAAATTATTTATTCTCTCAATTGATTCATGCATTGCCTCTGACTTCACACACGTATGCAAATTTTCAGATCAATTGGACAGGTAAAAGTGTGTCAAATATCAGTTATAAGATTGTAGCTGACAAAGTTATTTTTTCAGTTTTTTTAATATTGAAAAAAAAGTTAATTCATAAAATCATTTATTTTGTCATTTGATTCATGCACTATCTCCAACTTTACGCAAGTGTGCAAAATTTCTTAGCGATAGGATAAGTAGAAGTGCGTTAAATTCTGATTTTAAGATTTGTAGCAGACAGACGGATAGACAGGAAGTGAAGTTAATGAGAAGGGTTTTAAGGGCAGCGTCCGGCCAAAATTTTTTAATTTTGCTATTCCGGTTTTTAGTCTCATCTTAAAGCTGACGTTCTGCTCTATCCAACGGTACCAAAATCATCTCTGTACGTTGATTTATGCGTTCACGACAGATCGCGAAAGGGTGGGGGTGGTGGAGTTCTTTCACAGATAGGCGGAAATTCCCTATCATACTTAAATAGCTAGTCCACATACATACGATGTGCTTCAGTTATCCGCCTACAGTTGTACGGGAGGGTTTGCGTGTCGTCGTTCACACCATCCTTGACAGGAATTGAGCTCCAGTATCGCCTTATCTTGCATTCTTGCCACCTTGAACGCTTATTTCGAGGCGCCCGGGACTTTGTCGGGCTCTACTGAACAATTAATTAACTTATTGTCACTGCAAACCTATCTCCTCCTACAGTTTTAAAGCTACAGCGACGGGACATATACCATTCGATTCGCAATTAAAATATCTATCAATTTATGGTAGCTTTTTTCAATTTCGTTATAGTTTGAAAATATTTGAAAAGGGGGGGGGGAATAGGGGAAAATCGAAAAAATTTCGAACATTTTGCAAAAAATGCTCCCCCATCCGCAAAAATTCGAATTTCAAAAAACGCTACTACAAATCGATAGATATGGTCTTCACGCATCGAATGATATGCGTCTCAATGTTGTAGCTTGAAAATCCTAGGAGGAGATAGATTTGTACAGTACCCCCTTTTTTGGTCGTTCTCTAAGAATTTCACGTTTTCTTTCATTTTTTTCGAAAAATGAACCCGAATAAAAGCTGTCTATTTTTCGGTTTTACAATGGTGTACCAAGTTTCAAAGTGATCTATCTGTAAACAGCAGAGGAAAAAAAGTNGTCCGTCCGTCCGCGACTACGTTTTCGTCGACAAGAAAATGCGTTTTCTGTCACTCACTGCAGTGGGTACTGACTACTGAGTTATATTTTTTTACGTCTGCCACGCCCGAAACAATACAGGAAACTAAGGTCCGTCCGAAACACACAGTACACTTATTATCCTTATTATCCTTATTATCCTACTAAGGATAATAGGATAATATAGGATAATAAGCACACAAATACATCCCGTTTGCTGTATTGAGACCGCGTGATGACCCAACAGAAATTAAGCTCAGGCGTGGCCGCTTACGTGCGACTGATGAAGCCATCGTGGCGACCCTGCACAGTCAGCATACCTTATGCTGGTCAACAGATGCTGCGAGCTGACAATCAAATGCTGTACGTCAGCATTACGCCTCTTCATAACGTCTCAGCATTACGCCTCTCTGTTACATCTCAGCATCACGCCTCTCTATTACATCTTAGATCACACCTCTCTATTACATTTCAGCATCACGCCTCTCTATTACATCTCAGCATCACGCCTCTCTATTACGTCTCAGCATCACGCCTCTCTATTACGTCTCCGCATCACGCCTATTTATTACGTCTCAGCATCACGCCTCTCTATTACGTCTCCGCATCATTTCAGCATCACGCCTCTCTATTACATTTCAGCATCACGCCTATTTATTACGTCTCCGCATCACGCCTCTCTATTACATTTCAGCATCACACCTATTTATTACGTCTCCGCATCACGCCTCTCTGTTACATCTCAGCATCACGCCTCTCTTTTACATCTCAGCATCACGCCTCTCTTTATTACGTTCCAGTATTTCGTCACCATTGTTTGATCTTCATGCTTAGTAATTTTATTATAAAATTGAACTCCTTGCCTTGAGTTTCAAGATAGTACAAAATGAAGTGTAAGCTACCGAACTAAGTTCCACTATTTTTTTAAGTCAGTGATGTCTTATGATGAACTTATTCCGAATGTAGTAAAGTTTATAACATCAGTGACACATGCAGCAACTGTATAATTCAATAAATATTTCCAGTTTATTTCATAATATTTTACATTTCATAAACCGCGTTCTAGCAAAAATTTTGCCGAACTGTAACTTTCTTCGCCAAAAAAGACTCGCACAACGAAGCCTATAATGCAACAAATTAACGAGAACCATATTATTCGAGCGACACTGAGCGTATTTTAATGCATGCTACAATGATTGTTTATCATCCGGATTGGTAAGGTCAGGGCTCGCCGCAGTGACGATTTAAACACACCATTTCATTAACCGCTTATCTTGCCTATAAGCTACATCTTCAAATTTTTTGCTGCTTTCTGGACACGAACTCACGACTCGCTGATTTAATCCTGCTTCACCACTACACCACCACACGCCGTCCTCACGATTGCCAGACAATCCTGCCTCACCACAACACCACCACACGCCGGCCTCATGATTGCCAGACAATCCTGCCTCGCCACTACACCACCACACGCCGTCCTCACGATTGCCAGACAATCCTGCCTCACCATTACACCACAACACGCCGTTCTCATGATTGCCAGACAATCCTGCCTCACCACAGCACCATAATGATTGGTATTGAATGATTGATGCATTCGAAACGTTGTTTTACGAAATAAAAATGTCCATCGGTACCCTGATTTTCGATTTACCATTGCAAACGAAAAATTTTGTTCGATTAATTGAAAAAAGAATTAATAAAAAATTCACAATAAAATAAATTCTCTGATCTTTATTGAACCTTGCTTAAAGGAACCAATTTTAGCAACCAAAACTATATTAAGTAATAGTGACGGCTCTAAAGCTTTATAAACTGGGTACAGTCAAAAATTACGGCAACGTTCAAAGGTGCGTTGTGAAAAAAAACAGCAAGAGAAAAAAGCGTCGTTTATTCGTTAATTACAATTAAGTTGGTTAGAATTCATAAAAGAATGTGTCATCATCCTGCCCTGGTGTGAATAATTGTTTAGTTGAATAAACCTCAATCATTTTTTTCATTTCCATGAAACATCTACCCATTTGGCTATATTCATAATCAAAATCGTCCCGAAAGTCTTTGTAAACGTTCAAAATGAATAATATAGGCTGTATGAGCAAATTTAAATTCTGAATTATTCAGGAAAAAATTAAAATTAATTTTTATTCTGCTATTTTGATTTTTATTAGCATCTTGGTAATGTCTGTATTATAAACTCATATATTTGCATTGCTGGAACTTAAATAACCGGCGTTTCAGACTGCCTCGTCAAGCGAATCATCGTTCGGCACGACATTCGGGCGCTTTGGGCAATCGGATCGCGGTGCACTTTGGTCTGCACGCACGTCGTATTTTTAGTTGCTGCTCTTCGCTATTTTTGGAGTAAGTTCAATTAATTTCAAGTTGTAACTCTTATAGGTTATCGCTTTTCATCAATATGATTTAGTATTTATACAGTAAAATTAATTATTTATGTAAAATTTTCGTGGTCGAGTTGAGAACTTGAGTTCGAGGATACCTGCCTGCCGGCTGCCTTGAGGAAGCCGTTGTAATGATTGTTCTAGAACCGGCGTAGTGGCATAGCGGGACTTAAGACTCGTCCATTTCATTTTTGAGACCTTCTAGTAATTGATTGACGAGGATTCTAATAATGAATAGATTCTATAAAATTTATGGATTGCCATTATATCTAGACTAGAAAAACTCGCTGTTAACGAAGTACGAGTAGACAGTTGTCAGAAACTGCACTAGTGCACTTTACTTTCCTCTCTTTAGTCTTCACAAGTTCACTAATAACCTAGGAAGGAAGTAGTAGTACTAGCAAGAACAAATATCTGGATGGTTCACTTCACCTTATACTGAAATTGATGACTCAAGCTAGAATGATTATATGAAGTAGCTTCGTTTGCTGACCTAAGTTCAAGTTGTGGGGTTGCTCCGTCTCCGCGTCTCGTTGAAGTGACGTCACTGTCTGTTAGCCATCCTGGCCATGCCTATGTCTTCACAAGCAGTTAGGCTAGGTACTGCCTGTAACTTGCCATTTATTGATGTAGGCTATTTCATTCATAAAACCAAATAAATTATACTTATTATAGTAATGCTGGGGCATAACAACTAAGATTGAAGCATCAGTGAAGTGAAGACGTTTTATACCTGTTCCTGTAGTAGGTAATATTTGAATTATGATTTGCATGATTCAATTATCACAAGACTGCAAAAAATTGTAATTTTTTCTTAGAAAGCTTTGGTGCTAGGCTAATTTCTAATTGAAGTGTATCATAATTCATATGTAGTAGCTGCTAAGCTAATCAGTTGCTAATTGAAGTGTAGGTATCTGATCATATGTAGGATGATTTGTAGGTATTGACATTTTGAGTAATTGGCCAGCAAAAATGCAAAGACACTTGTTTCAAATGCCTTACTGCTATACAGTATTGGCTGTTTTCCTGAAACTGGGATTTATAATTGACTTTCCCTGACTGACAGGTTTGAGAAAATCTGGTTTTGACATATTTTCAATTTATAATCATTTTTTCATATGAAGATATGATACTTGGTTCTTGGTATATAGATTAGATCAGGTATGGAATATATCTGCCTTATGAGCTGTGACTGGAGCTTTCTCACTATTTTTGGTGCTGCAACTTGCAAGATTCCTGTTTGATGGACTAATGCTAATTTCATTACTTGTTAGTAGTAATAAGGTACATAAGACATAAGAGGGCTGTGAGATTCAAAATCAATTTGAAATGTCACAAAATTTCAGCAATGTGTAAAAAATATCCCATCTTGTATCAGCTTATCTGATAAGGGTGTAGCCAGCATGCAATTCAATCTAATTGGAATGTAACTTATTTCTCACACATTGTTGCCACTTCAGCACTTGCCATTGTCAATTTGTCACCTTCATTTGTGGCAGACAAGAAACCTTAGTTGCCCCTATTGTGAGTCCTATGTGTAAGTATCAGCAATGCAGTATTTTTGCAGCACAAGATAACAAAAAAAAAAAAACTTGCAGTCTTTTAGTTATTTGAAAATGAACCCAAACTAGAGTCTCTTCCATGGCTGATGTTAAGTGGTTGGCATATAAAAGTGATGATGTCTTAAAAGGAGCATTGAAGAATGAAGATGGATCTTCTGATAAGTTGTATTACTATTATGCTTATTAAAGTTTAGTATTACCTCTTCAGCAACAGGCCAACAGATGCAGAAAGATTCAGAAATAAAACATTATGGGGCAAAGAGGCAGTGACAATTTATTTAAAATTCTCACTTGGAATATTTTGTGTATTCTAGGCAGATCATAATTGGTAAACTGATTGAATATTGTGCTATAAAAAATATTGGTTTCTATCTTGTATTGATAGAAATGCATATATAAACACTACTAGCACTACACTAGGAACATGAAAAATTTTACTGAAACATTTAAACAACTATTTACTAATTCAAAAGCTCTATTAGTTCAAAGATTGTGTTTTTAGCGCATTTTCTCATTGATGAAAAAAATGCACTATTGTCCTCGCCATCTCCATCTGTCTGTCTGTCCATCTATCCATCCGCAACTTCACGTTTTTGTTACAAGAAAATGTGCTCTGTCACTCACTGCAGTGACTACTGAGCTATATTTTTTGAAGTAGGAAGCAAAGTAATGAGTCAAACCTAACATTTTTCCAAGATCAAACAATTTGGTTTTAAATAAAACCTGCTCTAAAAATGGAACAAATAAAAAAACTTTTAAAAACCATGTTTTCTTAACAGACTAAAAAAAACATTTACTCGTACATAACATTTAAGTTATGTAAAATGTTATGTAATGTTATGTAGGAGTAAATGGTTTTTCTTTTTTGTCTGTTAAGAAAACATGGTTTTTAGGTTTCTTTGTTTCATTTCCCTATTTTTAGTTTTGTAAAAACCAGAAGAAAGTGGTTTTTAGAAATATTTTTATATTTATTTATTTTCTACTTTTTAGTTAGCAATTTTAGCAATTCAAATCAATTTCCAGGGTTGGCAAGTGTGGATGTTCGAGAAAAAACTCGATTTCAAACCATGAATTTTTTGTGTTTTTTATTGAAAATTTTTTTACATTTTTTTTCAAAATTATTATTTCTGATGATCAAATCTTGTATTGTTAGGCAGCATAAGCATGCATGCCAAATTTCAACTTACTAGGATGTTTAGAAGTGCTCTAAATTAAGGTTTGAATTTTTGATGACAGACTGACATGAAACGAAGTCAAGAAAAACATGGTAAAAAACATGGTAATATCTTAAAGTTTACTATGTATTTACTCTTGTAAATCTGCTAGGATTAATGACTCTTCAATCACTAGATTGTGTTGTGCAAGATTGGTTTTCAATTTATTTCGTGCACCTAAATTAAATATTTCAAGGTCTAAGCACTTGTCTCCTCATTTCAGGCCATTATTTAACATTTTTGTGACTTTGATTTTAAAACGTCTTCTTTAAAATTTTACATGGTTTTCACAATGTGTTGAAATTGAAGTAATAGTTACAGAAAAGCATAGTGCATGTGAATGTTGCTTGGAAAATGCTTGGTTTTATTAGGAACCATTAGTTTTTATATTCTGCAGCAAGAATCTTCAGTGTGCAAGTTTTATCAAAACTCTTGGTAATTGTTTTGAACATTCAGTTTACATAGGTCTTGTGTAAAGTGGTTGCTTCAGACCAGCATAAAGCTTATTTCTTGAACAATGGTGCCATAATGATGAATGAATAGTCATTTGTCAAAAAAGTTTAGATTAACTTGTTGACTAAGATTGCTTCATCTTGTACTATTATTTCATTTTTTGTGCTGTTTTTAAGCAGGGTTGCCAGACGGTCATTTTTTCCGGACAAATTCCGTGATTTAGTTTTTCTCAATTGCCTTGGCTGGCTAAAATTTATGATAGTGGTACTTCCTAATTAAATTTTGAATACTGCAAAAAGAAAATAAATTGAATTTTTATAGCGGAACCTACAAATAGACTAGTATACATTGAATTATTGGCCTTTTTTGTTCCCGGATTCGGCCGATTTTAGGCAACCTGAATTATGTACCACTACCTCTTGGAGAAATACATTTTGTGGTACGCATATGTACCAATACGTAGTCAACGTGTTAACTTGTAGAAATAATAATGGATGGATAATTGCTTTTCCATTATCCCTACCTAATAATGTTTGGTGTATTGAGATGACTTTGGTATTGGGTATGTGGCCACTTCCCTAGTTCACATCATGGTGATGTCTTGTACAGTTGACTAGTGATGTAGGAAGAGCATAGAGTTGAAATTTATGTATTTTTGTAACCCAAATTGAAGTGGGTTTCTTGCTTGGATAATATTACAACATGCTTGGCAGCTTCTGCAGAGTAAAAGCAAAAGAAACTCCTCATAGATGAGATAACCTGCAAAGTTACTAATCATAATTTTGCATATTAAAAAGCAGAATTGTTTGATCAACAAACGGTTCCTATATAAATTATTGAAAAGGTTTAGGGCTGATGCTATGCACAGAATGATGGGTGATTAACTGAGGTATGATGTGGTGTATAAGATGACTAAGGTATGTGACCTCAAACACAAACTTGGGGTTGTAAGGGCCAATGGTAGGTAATGATTCTATGAAATGATACATATTACTAACCTCTACAAAAAACTTGCATTGATTTGAGGCCTAAAAACGGCCACACATTATAAAGTTTCTCAAATATCACTAGGTCCTCTAAATTGCTTTATAGGTATTCAGAACATGTTACAATGACCACTCACATAAGTGACCACCAGATTTCTCTTTCATTTTAAAGTTCATTTTGTGGTTTTTGCAATGTTGCCCCTACCTAAACTGTATCTTAAACAGAATTTTCAACTTTGGTGTAGGTACATTTTTCAAATATGTAGACATGTTGTATCCAATAACACACAACACATGCTATTGCCATGACTGATTCAAATTGGTCAAAGAATTTTGGCATCAATCATAATTTTGAAGGCTGATTTTATTAAGGTTTTCTACTAATATGTGCTGCCTCCAGATTTTATAAAATGTTCGTCTCTGATAGGTGGTATGCATTGAAATTGTGCACATGAATTCTAAATTTGTAGCTGATGACCCATGCACTTGTGTTTGCCACCAGGCTTATCATATTGCCCCTTAATTAGGAAGAAATTCATTAAAAAGTTTATTCCAGCTGTGGTAGGATAGACAAAAAATGTTTCCCAAAGTTTTATTTTAAATTTTTGAGGCACTGAGTGAATGTTGAATGCAACAAAAGTTAGCACAGGGAGCCAATTTGTACTGAATTCATGTCTGTTCTTCATCACGAGTATTGTAATGTTGTTAATGTATCTCTTGGAAATCTCTTAAGGTGGAGGATATAAGAATATTCTTGTTTTTCTTCTAATTGGTTGGTATGTAATTTTGAAATTTTATCTCGACAGATTGCCCACCCTTCTGAAGGCTTTTCTTTTTGCACAACGCAATTAAATAATCATGTCTGACTGGGAAGATGATCCTACGCCAGTGGTGAGTGGAGAACCTTGGTAGAAGTTCTTGGATTTAGTGTTAGTCTCTCATGATTATTTCCCTTCGTATATAGAAATTTCATGGTATAGAATCCATTGGTCAGTCAATTGAATTGCTATTTGATAAAAATATTTGCAGAAAAAATAAAGGCATTTACTGTAAACTTTGTTGATTACATGCAAATTTGATAGTTTTTGGATGCATAGTGGTATATATAAAATTTTAGCTTAACTATTTCTATTTTCCAGTCCGGAGGAGGAGCTGAGACCAACGGTTTTGGTGAGTAGATGTAGAATGACTATGTTGTGGAATAATCAGATTCTCGCTATGTATTAAGCTTATTTAGCTTGCAAGCAAGCAATGCTGAATAGCCTCGCATGATGTTAATTATGGATATTTAGTTTTAAATTGTAATTTTTTTGGTCTAATTATTTGAAGAGTCGAAAGTGTCTCAACAATCCTGAATTGACTTCATGCATTATATATACTTTCTTGATTCTGAGTGGATAAATTAAGGCTCAAATATTTGTTTGTATTAATTTAGCTCAGAATTGATGCACTAGATTGTTAATGAACATGAAATTTACTGGAGTGCATGTTTACAATATTGTGATCTTAAAAATGAAGTTCCATGTTCCCCAAAGTTGCATTAAACTCTGCGTGATTATTGTTGATGTTAACGTGCGTGTGCTAGCTATCATGAGCTGGTATACATGATACCTCCACCAGGCTCCGGGAGTGGAGGGTGGGGAGGTGGTGGCAGCCGTGGAGGACGTGGTGGTGGTGGTGGTGGTGGTGGTGCCAGCGGCAGCAATTTTGCTTGCAGAAAGGCAAGTTCATTTGACACTTGATCAGGGCTGCAAAAAACCCTGGGTTTATTTACAAATTGCTCAGCCCATTTTTTTTTTTTTTTAACCTAGGGTTTTATTTGGAAAAACTCCAGGCTAAATGGGTAAAATTACTATTTTTGCTTTCATTTATTTATTAAATGTTATTTTTTAATAAATGTGTATTTGTGTGTGTGCATATATATTTGTGTATTTCTTGTGTATATATTATTTATTAGCTTCAAAGGCTTTCTCATTTGTTGACCGTTGAAAAATTTGATGCTGGAGTAACGACTTCTATAATTGCATTTGCCATGAATTTTAATCCAATAATCGTCAATTTTTTATATAGCGAGTCAGTGATGCATCGTTAACTTGATGTATAAAAAAACCAGTGACATCTCTGCCAGAGACTACAAATAAATGAATTGTTGTATCGGGATATTGTGCTAATTTAAATAGTATGATGAATCAACACAGTCTGCTGTTTGCCCGTCAGCAACTTCAGTGTCCTTTTCTTCCTTGTACAACTTGTTTGTTATTAAGTCAGGCATGAACTCCCGATTGTGCTTGCTTATGCAGCAGTTTGAATAGCCTTTTATGTTTTTCTTTGTGTCTATACAAAATTGTCTTTATGATTGTTTGCATTTTAAGAAGAGAAGAAAAATAATTATTGAATTATGGTCCCATGATGTTTTTATGTCCATTGCATTATTTTCAAAACTGAAGTAGTTTTTTATTATTATCTAGTATTTTAAAGACCGAAGTAGTTTCCAAGTAAAGCTCGTTATATGCTTCTATAATAACACATCTTTGTCGGAATTATAAAGCGATTAATGACATTTGCAGTGCGGTGAAGACGGTCATATGGCGAGGGATTGTCCCTCAGGTGGTGGAAGCAGCAACAGAGGTCAGTTTGATTGTAGAAAGTTCAATAATTTCAAGGTAAATCTTATCTAGTACATCTAATTTAAGGTACATTAAGGTATAATACGTCACCGTTAACGCACCTCTTCCTATTCTAAGGTGCCTCTAGCAAATTTTGTACGAGCGAAGTCTTCTGTTTAGCAACACTGTTTTCTTGTGGCAGGTGTAGATAAATTAAATTCTTGAACTTTCCGTATGGGACTTGAGGTTGGGCAAGAGATTCAAAAGATTTCGGTCAGTGCCCAATGAACGTGAATGTCATTTTATATTTATATTCAAATTGGGATGACGAGATGACTCATCATGATAACTATTATTTAATTTAGTTTTTCGCATTTCTTAAATCTAAAGCTTATTCTTCATTTGTTGACTGCTGTGTAAATGATACTGTTGTACGTGTTGACGTAATTGATCCACGAGGGTGGAATTTATTAACTATTATAACCTAGTTTCCTTGGTGTTACCTTGTGTGGAGCAGCAAGCTAATTATTTTTTTTGTCTAGGTTGCTTCAAATGTGGCGAGGAAGGCCACATGTCACGTGAATGCCCCTCTGGAGGTGGCGGTGGAAGTGGAAACAAAGGTAAACTTTGCTTATAATTGTATGCTAAACACTTTTTCTGGTAATTAATTTGCAAACGGTATTTCCAAACATTTCGTTGAGACATGCTAACGGTATGAAAAAGACAGTTTATGAAATTTCCAAGCTGCTGTGAAGTTGTGAGTATTGAATTACTTGGACATTTCTAAGGTCCAATCACCTGGAGCAAAGAGAAACCTCACCCTGTGTTCAAATTCACCAATTTGTGCTGATGTAAGCTAAGCTTGGTAGGTTACCACGAGAGCTATGTTCATCGTTAACTTTTAATGTAATGTGTAATATCGCTGAAATTAAACGGCAGTCATATTCGAGAGCTTCTGATCAGCTGGGAGTAGATCTTGAACTATCTCCTTACGTACGATTAGATACAGAATTGCAATTTTACGTTTCTTTGAAGTTGGGTCGAATGAACGCTCGATTTTTAATCACATTGAAATTGAGTTAGTGTACTGTTAATTATTGGATTGTGGTCTAAGCCATCCAGAGTTTCTCTTGAATGTCAATCTTTAGAATGCTTTCCTGAAGTACCAGTATTTATAAGAGTTGGTGAGAAATCTCGCTCTCATAGTCCACGAAGGCACTGTTGGCGCTTTGTTGACCAGCGCTTAGTGTTGATTGCCGTACTGATTTTTAACGATTTTAGGCAAATCGGTTCGTAATTCCATACAAGAACCTGGAAAATGTTTTAAGAACAGTTTTTTTTTAATTTGGAGGGCATTTCTAATCAGTTCTTTGACTTGAGTTTTTCTTTCTCCGCGGATTTCTACCGTGAAAGTAAACTAACCAACTATTTTTGGTCTATATTTGTTGAGCAAATTTCCTGTCGTGATTAGAGACATTAATATCCTATGGATTTGTTCTTAAAAAGACCTCATGGACACTTTGAAACCGTCAATATTCATAAAAAATTTTCATAAAATTGTCGGTCCTTATGATCGTTCTCCAAGAATTGTATTCAAATTTGACCTATGTTTATTGCTTCAATTTTTCAGGATGTTTCAAATGCGGCGAAGAAGGCCACATGTCACGAGACTGTCCCAACGGCGGCGGCGGCGGTGGCGGTGGCGGCGGCGGCGGCAACAAAGGTGAGTTCTGTTACATTGCTTCCATTCTCAAATTTAGTGAAGAAAGAAGTTATACATTCAAAGCATGCTTTACAACTATTGCACTGGCAGGTAATTGATCTTGCTTCCTTGGTCGAGTCAGCAAATACGTATCATACCTTCAAGTGAAGGAAGTAATCTAAATGAAAACGTAACTTTTCAGATAGCGTACTTTTTTGAGCATAGGTAGACGTGAAGGTGAGCGTGGAACGCCTGGAAACGGCAGCGTATCACTTGACGACGCAGTATGGGAAATAAGTTGCATTTTATCTCGCCCCATCCGCTTACATAAGCGCTTTCAGTTAGCAAGTTTATTGGTTTAATTTGAGCCGTGTAAGATCTATGAACAAGGCACGAAAAGGAAAAGAATCGGCGACAGGCCACATCAGGCCTACACTTCAGCGTCGACATCACTATGTTATGTTATGTTAAATGCACTGGTACCCGAAACTGGCGTACTGCAGCCTATAATAGCTCAGCCAGCCTCGCAGGGACACCAGAGACAATTAAGTGCTCTAACTTGACTGACTAGGCCTTAAAAGTATTATTCCACGCAGTAGGGGCGGATAATAATCTTACAACTGTAAACCAGGGATTCGTTTTGGTCTATATTTGTGAAGCAAATTTTCTGTCGTGATTTGAACCAATAAAGATGGATTTATTCTAGGAAAGACCTCGTGGACATGTTGAAACCGTTAATATGTATAAAAAATTTTCATAAAATTGTCGAACCTTCTAATGGTTCTTCAAGAATTGTATTCAAATTTGACCTATGTTTATTGCTTCAATTTTTTAGGATGTTTCAAATGCGGCGAAGAAGGCCACATGTCACGAGACTGTCCCAACGGCGGCGGCGGTGGCGGTGGCGGCAACAAAGGTAAGTTCTGTTACATTGCTTCCATTCTCAAATTTAGTGACGAAAGGAGTTATACATTCAAAGCATGCTTTACAACTATTGCACTGGCAGGTAATTGATCTTGCTTCCTTGGTAGAGTCAGCAAATGCGTATCATACCTCTAAGTGAAGGAAGTAATCTGAATGGATACACATTTGAGATCGCGTACTTCTTGGAACATTGGTAGATGTGAAGGTGAGCGCGGAACGCCTGGAAACGGCAGCGTATCACTTGACAACGCAGTATGGGAAATCAGTTGCATTTTATCTCGCCCCATCCGCTTACATAAGCGCTTTCAGTTAGCAAGTTTATTGGTTTAATTTGAGCCGTGTGCTCCTGGGAGCTTATGACTAATAGCTTAGGAATGGCTATTGGCCACCAAAGCTAATTATTACACAAATTTTTGTGATTGTTGTCTTGTGATTTTTACCCTGCAGTGGTAACTTAGCAGTGGTCGCGTGCTAAAACTGACCAAACTGGTCACATTTATTACGATAATGGCAGGTAATTGATCTTGCTTCCTTGGTAGAGTCAGCAAATGCGTATCATACCTCTAAGTGAAGGAAGTAATCTGAATGGATACATAACATTTGAGATCGCGTACTTCTTGGAACATTGGTAGATGTGAATGTCAGCACGGAACGCCAGGAAACGGCAGCGTATCAGTTGACGACTCAGTATGGGATATTAGCAGCATTTTAGCTTGCCCCATAGGCTTACATAAGCGCTTTCAGTTAGTAAGTTTATTGGTTTGACTTGAGCCGTGTGCTCCTGGGAGCTTATGAGTGGCTATTGGCGACCAAAGCTAATTATTACACAAATTTTTGTTTACATGTTGTCTTGTGATTTTTACCCTGCAGTGGTAACTTAGCAGCGGTCGCGTGCTAAAACTGACCAAACTGGTCACATTTATTTTCGCTTTTCGGTTTCATTGAGGTTGATTTTACTAGGTGTGGATTACACATGTAATCTACGCGATCACTTTAGGGTTAAATGAGCTGAAATGCAAGTAACGTGGAGCAAAATTGCCGTGGCAGGTTGCTTCAAGTGCGGGGAGGAAGGCCACCTCTCCAGGGACTGTACCAGCGAGGCGTCCAACGGCAGACCGGAGAGGCCTCGTGGTGAGCAAATTTATTCTGTATCGTGTCTGAATTAAGCAAGAATTGAGACGTCGATTTCTAGTTTCACACCCGTTCTGTCGGAATAGAATCATTTTTATATTGAAGATTTCAGGTACCTAATTATGCTTTGGTAAATTTATAAGATTTTCTATTCCTGACAGTATTTTTTAAGGCTGCTGATCATGTGATGATTTGTCTTCTAATTCGCGAAATTCCTGATTGTGAAATATCACGATTGTGAGGTAATGGAATGATGGGCGTTTGGCTAACCCCAATTTTAGCCTCTGTTTTATGCTAGCAATGGGCTTACACGATTTTCTTGCTCTGGTTTCAAAGAGTTAGAAATATTGACGAGGTCACAAATATAGCGTTTCCTTTTGCCATGCCACTTGATAAGTTTTGATCGTGCGCATGCTTAATCAAAGCAACATCATTACATAACTTAACTTGGCAGTGGGCTCAAAAATTAGGATTGGTCCCTGACAGTGCCGAACATTCTGAGAAACTGAAGAAGTTAGTCTGATGGCCTGCTAACATGGGCTAATAGGGATACAAAACACCATACAGTTGAAGAACAATAAACTTTCTGCATTGCATTTTTCAATTTTTTTTTTTTCAAATTGTCGAAACTGCATGAAATCAGGCATTTGTGCCCAATTTCAAGTGCTAGGAACTAAACACTCTTGACGAGCTAGCCTATAAACGAGTTTTCTCGAATGGATCCTCTTGATTAAGAAGTTCTTTATCTCTCTTCAAATTTGGCCCGTGAAAGTTTCATTTGGTCAGCATGCTCCAATAACGCTTCTGCTGCAAAAACAAACCATCTTATTCGTATAGTTTTTTAACATCCTTGTATCGCTATATCAACGGTTTCCAATAGGATGTTTCAACTGCGGAGAAGAGGGGCACAACAAGGCTGATTGTCCCAATCCTGCCAAGCCGCGAGAGGAAGAGCTTGGTCCGGACGGCAAGCCACGTCCTCCGTTGTACGTTCCTGAGCACATAACCGACGAGCAACTCTTCCTCGATGGCGTCACTCAGGGCGTCAACTTTGATGCTTATGAAAACATTCCCGTGTCGGTTAGTGGCGTAATATCTCGGGATTGAAAGTCGGTTTAAGTGAAAGTTGACTCTCGCACGCAATTAGAGCTGGTATTGGGGTCACGGCACAAGAATAGTTTAACTGTTGCTTGTTCAATTATACCGAAGCTCGTTGTTGGGAAAGATTAAATTTTTTTCCTTCAACGAAGTCCTGTATATGAAGCTTTATCGGTTGCTTGCTTGTTCAATCGTTATGCCATTTAATTGATCGACATTTCTAGAGCACTTTTATTAGGTATCTTCCCCATATGAAATGTTCGATGAATGTCTAGTCAATAAAAAGGCGGTCACCAAATAAAAAGGCTAAGCTCGCGTAATTCATTTCTGTAATGATTGTTGTGATGCACCTTAATGCAGGTCTCGGGCAGTGGGGAGGTCCCACCGCCATTAGCAAGCTTCAATGAGAGTGGACTTCGTGAACTGCTACTGAAGAATGTTGAGCTTGCCGGCTACAGGAAGCCGACACCCATCCAGCGTTACTGCATCCCTACCATCATGGCGGGACGGGACCTCATGGGCTGCGCTCAAACCGGCTCCGGCAAGACGGTACGTTGTGCACAGGCTATCGTTTGTTGAACCTTTGATACGATCATCGTAACCCTCGCATGAGGAAGAAAGTGACATTCAGGAAAAGTTCAAGCAGTTGTGTGATGTTAATGATCCCACTTGGTGTTTTTTGTTTTTACACACGGCATTTTTTTAAATGTATGAGAGAAATTTTGATCTAAATGAAACCTTGTCTACAGGCGGCATTCTTGCTACCAATTTTGAACGGTATTCTTGCGAGTGGAGAAGTTGGCAGCAGCATGTCAACGGTGGCTGAGCCTGCGGCTGTTATCGTGGCCCCTACACGTGAACTAGCCATTCAAATCCACAACGAGGCCCGCAAGTTCGCGCTCAAAAGCATCGTGCGCACCGTCGTTTGTTACGGCGGTGCTGCAACCAACAGCCAGTATCGTCAATTACAGGTAATCTACCTCGTTCAACTGCGAAGATGAGCTTTCGGAGATTGTTTTTCGCTTGCATGAATTAAGTAGATTATCCGTTGCACTGCGCTCATACAACATTTGTCATGTCCGACACGGATAGGATGTAAAATTCTAGTTATCTTCTGTGAATTGAGTTGGTGGCAAGATGGGCGATTTTCGTTTTTGAAGTAGTTGGATTGCTGTATTGATCAGTCTATTTATGTACAGTTTTTTAATCCCATGGCACCGGCATTAGAAGACACCTGGCAAGGTCACAATACCAAGTTGATACTTAACCAGTCATCTAAGAAATATTTTGTCCTAAAGCTTCATCCCATTAATGATATTATACCACATTACATTGTATAACTTTTCCTCCTCGGTTTTAGAAAATATTTTCGTGTTCTAGAGCTTGTGTGAAGATATCAGAATTGAACGAATATTTTTACGACAGAACGGCTGCGCCATTTTAGTGGCCACTCCAGGACGTCTGATGGATTTTATTGATCGCGGGCGCGTGAGCTTCTCATCCGTCAAATACGTGGTACTGGACGAGGCCGACCGCATGTTGGACATGGGCTTTGTTGGGGACATCGAGAAGATCATGAACCACCCCACGATGCCGCCTCTGTCCGATCGTCAGACGCTTCTCTTCAGTGCCACATTCCCTGAAGAGGTTTTCTTATTATAGCTTGAAAGTGAAATAACCTTTTTATTGGTTAATTATTACAGAACATTGTTTGATAGCGTTATGATATTATTAAATTGTGTGATATATATTATGTTATTATATTAAATGTAATATTGTAATTTATAATGTTACATATCATTATATTAATATTGAAACGTTTAGGAAGTTCTCGTTTTACCCTGAAACTTTTCTGACGTTCATTGATTCTTTCCCCTTACAGATTCAGGCTATGGCAGGGAAGTACCTGAACGATTACGTTTTCTACGTGGTCGGTGTGGTTGGCGCCGCCAATACTGATGTTGGCCAAGAAATCCTGAATGTTCCTAAATTCCAAAAAAGGGACATGTTGATCACAAAATTGAAGGAAATCATGGACGCGAGCACCGGTAATATTTTTAGTTTTAGAGTTATCTTGACTAAGGGCTACTTTTTAGTAATCTTGACTTGGGCTATCAAAAGCGCTTGAACAATTGTTATAATGACATTGAGAATATGTAACATAAAGGTGCCTCTAGTCTAAGTGAGAATTGTTTGTGCCGTAGTTCAGTTTCATCTTATGATATAGTTCAAACTGTATTTCGCGGTATGCTGACTTGGCATTTCTTTTCAGAAAACAAGATCCTGGTGTTCGTGGAGACTAAGCGCACTGCGGACTTCATCGCTTCCTACCTGTGCACGCAAAAGTTTAGCAGCACAAGCATCCACGGGGACAGGTAGCAATAATAATAATAATAATACTTGAAATATTGTAGAATTTTCACTAATCGAGGGGTAAGGACTATTTGACTTGCTTGACGGATATTAGTTCTTGTCGCATATAGGCGAAGAAAGATTCACGGTTGGATTTATACATAATTGTTAGGCATTCAACAAAATTGCGGTCTAAACGCAACGTTTTCGCCTATTTTCAGTTTTTATTAAGCAGGCATATATATATCTATAAAACACGTTTGATTGCCTATTCCAGGTTTCAATCGCAGCGAGAAGAAGCCCTCGCTCAGTTCAGGGCAGGCGTCCGATCTATCCTGGTGGCTACAGCTGTGGCAGCTCGCGGGCTGGGTGAGGCTCATTTTTGCGTGGCAATGTACTTACTAGGGCATGTTTGATCCTTGAAGTGCCATAACAAATTTTTTTCAGTTTAAAGCTGCACTGACTACTCTAGTTCATTAACGTAGACACTTTTAATTTATTTGATTTTGTTCGTGATTAGGTCTTTGCTCTAGAGTCTAGATTGTCATTTTGCATTGCGATACTCAAGAGGAATTTAGCAGCCAAGTAATATCGCACTAATGATCATTGAATAGATTAGCTGAACGTGAAAGAAAATTGTTAATTTGGTACTTCGTCCTTGGTCGGGATGCGTTCACGTTTTCATAAGTCGAAATATTCTACTTTTCGAATGATTTGGCTCCATAATCTTTGCAGATATAAGAGGCGTGTCGCACGTGATAAACTACGACCTTCCGAAGGAAGTGGACGAGTACGTTCACCGCATAGGACGGACGGGACGAGTAGGAAATAAAGGCATGGCCATCAGCTTCTACGATGAAACACAGGATGGACCTCTTGCTAAAAATCTAGTGAAAATTTTGTCTGACGTGAGTCGAATAGAAATTTCGGAGCTTTGATTTGCTTTATATCTCATTACAATTACTAGCGCTGACACCATTCCTGACACCCTAACCTGGTAGTTGGGACAAATGTTTTACTTTTTATTTGCTAGCCCTTTGGTTCTTGAACGCTTGATAGCTCATGTTGTTGTGATTTTCTCTTCAGGCGGAACAAGAAATTCCTGGCTGGTTGAAAGACACGGCTGCCTTGAGTGGTCATGCTCAGACCTACTACGGCACCGGTGATTTCGCTTCCACCGACATCAGAGGACAGGTACAAATTTCAGGTTATGAGTTTCACGTTTTGCTATTCATTGCTGGTGTAAATATAATGCAATGTGTCTGTTATTACTATAACTTGGAATGGGCCTAATAACGAGTTATCGAAGAAATCTCTTATTTCTGTCTATTTTTGCGACGTATTTTTCACTTGTCCAAGGATCTAACTATCTCTCGAGATCAAACAAATTTGATTTCCTTGTAAAAGGGCCTATACCAGGAGGGATCTGCTCAAGCATTTGGCGGTCCTGCTCCAGCCGAGGAGGAAGAATGGTGACCGTCTTAGTTTCGATTTGATCGTCCACGACTTTAGTTTTAAATTTGATTTCTCCGTCATCTGACGGAAGTTATTTCGCAGTTATAACGGAAGTTCTGTTAACGAACGCTTTAAAACTCGTTCACCGATGGCGCTTTGTTGCCTTGGCTCCATTTTTGCCATTTTGACTCAAGTTATACTTTGTTTCTTTTATACGGATATAAAAACTAACAAGTTGTGGGTTACTTACGATTGAAATGTTTGTCCTAAAAAAAGGGCCGGTAAGTTAACTGTTTTTGAATAGAAATTTAAGTACCGGAATCTTGTCAACTGAAAGCTTTCCTGGAGAATGGTATGCTTGCTTATTGTGCTGCGAGATGGGCTATTATAGTTCGCGTTTAGCCCAAGATAAGATATAAAACTGAAGCTTTAATAACGAAGCTAGTGCTGGATCGTGCAATTTTTGCGCTACCTATAGCAAGTTGAACTGGCTACCGTCATATGTGATACCGCCTAGTCTAGTCAGTCAACGCCACAGCAAGCCTTTTTATGGAGAGTATATTCAGTAGAAAGATTATCGTCTTTCACTTCCATCCCTTGTGTTTAGTAGCATCTTCGTTCTTGCATCTTTAGTAGCATCTTCGATGCAAGATTAGGCTCTACTGCACCAAGCGTTACATTTCTAAAGTGAATCGATATCACGTGTTGGCATCCATTAATTTTTAATTTAAGTGTTTTAGTTGGCGACAGCGAAAGGATACTTCCAGCCAATTCTGGTTTTGCTGTAGTATTCCGGGCGCAGTTCTTGCATGAAGGTGAGACTGAAAACTGCCACAATTTTACCCTGTTGTAATTCAGTTTCAAACTAGATTGGGAGGGCTGCTACCCGCGCATTGACGCGGATGCCATAGTTCCCCTAGTTAAGAAAGATCGTGAAGCACCGATCAAGCGACGTCTGATGGCTCTAAGTTAACCTAACCTCAACTTGACAGAATGCTAGGCAAAGATCCGGGTAGACAGAGCAACCGTGCTTGAATGGCGAGGCTCACACGGCTTCTATCAGAAGCGCTGCATTCTAACATGTACATAGGGTAAAAAAAAACTCAAAATTCAGTCCAGTATTAAATTATTAGAGGTAAAATACGCAGGTGAATCCATATATGACCACAGTACTCGTTCATCACAATCTTCTCAAATATCGTTATGTACAAATTTACAAGAGTGTTTCATCAGGTGTATGGTGATTATATAAGAACGGACCAATAAACCTGGAGCGTGGACGCAGGGTCTGAAATCACGGTTCATTCACCATCTGGTGAGCTAAGCACATAACCAATGCTATTTTTTAGTGAAGCGATACCTATTAGCGAACGCGAATAACTAGAAACTTGAGTCGACAGTTGAATTTTCAATTTGTTCTGGCGTATGATTCAAATTGTAATGCAACGGATTTCTCTGACGACAATTTGCAGGAGCTGTAGCTTATCGTATCTTTCTTGGATTAATTGTGAAAAATTGCAATCGCGTTTTCGCTTGACTTCTGGAAGTTGAATTTACACAGATAAACTATTCTCGTTGAAAATTTTCAGCACACAGGAATTAATAGTTCAGTATTGAGTACTTTCCTCTATTGTTCAGGTATTGATGCTCACCGACGGACTCTGAACTATTTTTCCTCATTATCGATAATGCTGTAATTAAAGTTAAGGGAAGAGGAGGGTCTTGATGAAAGGTATGGGTCTGAACTAGCCGAGAGAAATGTCAAACCGTGCTGTGAACACGCTACGTCCTAAGTTATTCTAAAGGGACGGATAAAGCGATAAGAAGCTCGTTGCTACAGAACAAATAAAATTGTCTACTGGGGAAAGGACGTACAGATGGAGCACACAATACAAGCGGGCAAATTCGTCAGCTGGACAAAAACGTCACGCGCGACGACAATATGCATAAGGAAATTTTTCATGAACTTTCGTGGTATCGATTAGAATTAAAGCAGGAGAACATCACCCAATGGCATGGAAGATTTATTCTAAAGTCAATTTTTTCATGTACTACATTAATCGGACCAGTGAGTGGCGTTAGGTAAAAAAAAACGTTGGGCGGCCTATTTATTTTGAGACGGGATTATACAAAGTTAATATCATTTTTATTAGGAACGATTGCTTTTTACTAGCCCTGCTCGTGGTAAAATGTTCGTGGCTCCGTGTCAGCTATCTGGAAATTGTTCAAATAAAGGTTGATTGGTTCAAATAACAGGCGAGCGGTATAGCAATTCAATGGTATTGAAATTTTTGAACTAACAAAACGAGGAAAATACTTGAATGAAATCGGGCGTTCCGGATTGAGTCATTAGGCAAATGTTCGTTTGGTTTCCCTGAACAAGCGAGATTCATTAAGTTGATACAAAATTGCAAGTTCGGCCTGTCTGAAATACTGGATAAGTTTATTCCCTCCGGCGCACCACTTTAGAGAATCGTAGGAACACGCCAACATATCGCTGCCGAACGAACAATTTCCGTTTCTACTCTTCACAATAATAATAAGAAACATCTGAGTAATTGAAGTTAACTACAAAGAAATATATCTAAAAATTACACAACTAACACTTAGTACCATTTAATATTTATAAACATGAGCCAATTTCACTCTTGACAGCCAGAAGTCACGACAATGTACAAAATTCATAATCTGGTTTCCAATTCCCGACTTCCTTTTTTCACGCTAGAATATGAATTCTTGGGATAATCGAGAATTATTTCTCCCTCGACACCTGAACCATCCTGGCAAGGTATCGCTTAAAAAATTGCTTTGCTGACAGAATCGTAAGAAGTCTTAAATAAATAAAAATGTATCATATAGATGCCCTCGAAACAATAGTACACGATAACAATCTTGACTACTGCCTCAGTGTGTGCAATAAAATAAATATCGTAAATGGCATCAGCACAGCTTTCGAGGTAATTGATACACTAAGTAATTCAACGTTATGCAGATTACACTCACGGGAGTCCGATGTTCTAAACCTATGATGTCATAGCAGGAATAAGATGTTTGTAACCTTCAGCGCAAGCTACAATTGGTGTAAAGTATCTGTGGAAAATTCAATTCCGGATATCAACAAAATCGTGTGAGTGACGTTAGTTCTTATCAGAATGCATCGATTAAACGCACTTTTTTCGAGTATTTGAAACGTCTTAAGAACTGAAATTAGTTTGAGCATTTTCTACGGAGTAACCAATTCAATAAAACTAACTGGCGCTTCAAGAGCAGTAAAAATGCTTAGGAAAAAAAGCAACAGGATATGAAGCAATTAGTGACGAGTTACAGCTCGGAACTCATTTTCTATTGTGGTTACAGAAGGAATTTTGCCGTCTAATTTTGGGTGCTCCAGCTGAGCACAGAACTTCCCCGACGAGACGCTGCGGCGGTCAAGCGAAGAGTCGCTGAATGCCAACGACTGCGTTGACCCGTGGCTTGACTGAGGGCATAAGAGAAATTTTTAGTTGGTGCCAAAACTACAAGTAACATTTACTATGATACAATTCACGTTACTTGCTAGTAACGTATAGCAGTATGATCAAAGTAGAATTATAATAAAATATGTACGTGAGAACGATTCCATTGACATTACGCTAATAAAAAACTTTTGATCAAAGTCGACTTGATATAACATAATATATGAGTTCATGTTGGCTCGTTGGACGCGAGCGTTGAAAAGATAGAAATACCATTGTAATTTTATTGATCAATTCGATTAGCATTTGTGCCAGTAAATTATTAGCTCTTTAGAATACAGTACCTTGGCGTGAGAACGTCCCGCCAGATGGCGCCTGTAGAGTACGACTGCCACGACGACGGCGCAGAGCAGCGCCACGCAGACAACTGTGATCAGCACCGACGCGTTCAGGAACGCTGGCTCGCGCCGCTTCATCTGAAAGAAACGACCGCGATTTTAATGTCTTGTGAAATTGCAACAGTTTTAATAATAATAATAATAGCGGTTTCAGAGTTTATTAGGCCAAAAATATTTCTACAACGATTGTGTATATTGAGAAATAATTATTCTGAAATTAATATTAGATACTCGAGCTAAATGCAGGTTATCGAAAGAAAATTCCATTTAAACTTACTCGTACAACTACGCATTCCTCATGTTATTAAAAGAACGCAATGACTCACTATTGAATGAAAACACTGGCATGAACACACCTGCGTCACGACAACCTCCCGAGCCAGAGCACCGTCAGCCCCAAGACCAGCAACTCGAATGCTGTTCGAGTGTTGCCACACTGGCGGCGCCACCTGGTGGTGGAACCACGAAGCGCGCATGTCGGCGGGAACTCGACGCTGGTCATTTGACAGCGACAGGGCGAGCTCACCTCGTCGTACCTGAATTGATGCATAAACAATCGATATAATTAACCCAGATAGTCAGAGAATTAGACTTCGGTGCCAGTAAAGTTAGGCAAAGACAAAAAGGGCGACTAACTCTGGATACAAATTTGAGATTCAAATTAAATAACTTTTGATAGAAAATTCAAACAAATAGAAACTATTTATATTATTTCTCAGTTGAGTTATACTCAACTGTTCGAGCATTAAGAACAACTTCCCTATAATTTATATCAGCACTCTTTTATAGAGCATTCCATTTTAGAATGTAAAAAATTTGTTATATTTTATTCAAATGACAATGAAAGCTCATGACAAAATTATGCTGGCAGTTTAACTTCTGTAAAATCTCATTTTTATAAAAATGTTCGAGCATTGTTCGTGCATTAATTTTGTATCATTCAGTTGTAAGATAAACAAATCAGAAAGATAGATTTTTTGCCCATAGCACGAATTCTTAAACATCATTGAAATGCAGAGAATTATTTTAATCCTAATTGGAAATGGATGATTCACTTTTGCAAAAGTTATACTTTTTCTTAAGTGCATTTTTATTATTTTGTACAGTATTTGTTAAATTGTAAGCATAAACTGACTTGGTCCTCCAGTTTGTAGGCAGCGTCAATCTTGCCAGGTCCGCGCAAGGTGAACTTGACCTGCGTCACGTCGGGCAGGTCCACGATGGACACCTGACCATCAACACCGCTGGGCAGCAGCGAAGACAACAGGTCAGTCATCTGCACATTTTGATAGGAGTTCAGTGAAGCATTCAAGCGTGGATTGAATTACGAAAACAATTTTACATTAGAGTGAATTTAATTAATCAAACACAACGTACACTGCAATGGATCCGTGTTTACAACTGGATATTGACTAAAATATTTACATAACTAAATGAAATGAACATAGAGAAAGCACAGGCAATGTAACATAGATGGGAGGAAACCAACCTGTTCGCGAATTTCTTTCTCGTGTCGCCTGCCCAGATGGTCGAGTCCAACTTTGTGGCCATGGAAGCCGAGCGTCACAACCACAGACTCAACCATGACAGGCTCTGCAAGCGGTTAAAATGAACAACCAGTTTTCTATTGAGACACAATATTTGCATGAATTTGACCTCAGTCGTCATCCTTCTGGATTCAAATTATGGCATTTTAGGCCTTATTCGGCACACACTTGCACGATGTTACTTCTCATTCGCACAAAACTTGCTCCGGTGAAGAGATTAAGTGCGATGAACAATGCGGGCCTTATAATTGCGTTTAACACTCAAGTTACGTGCCATGTCACATTTACATGCCAAAGCAACGCAGGTATTTGAAAGTACGGAGTTAGACTTCGAATGGAAAACCAACAACTCATCGGCGAAGTCATTTGGTACAAGAGAAAAGAAGAGGTAAATCATGTTTATTAATACAAATCAGCCATAGAAGCTGACAAACTCTAGCCGAGGCCACACTATAAACAATAGATGAGCTTGTTAGATGATCTGTGTGCACTCACCACACACGCGTTGTCCTTTGATGAAGTATGCTGACGGGTGCGTCTTCTTGCCGGTCTCGTCCACGCACCAGCAGCGGGGCTGAGACTCTTCAGGGGCCAGCAGGTCCGATTTATTAATACAAATCAGCCATAGAAGCTGACAAACTCTAGCCAAGACCACACTATTTAGAATAGAATAGAAGTGTCGGCACTGAAGAAATAGGCCCATGGTCTGTTGCCGATTCTTGGACCTTTCGTAACTTGATTCACAAGGGATCCGGCCTTTGGAACCTGCTCTTTCCATATATGGCGTTTGATTGAGATAGCTGCTGGACTTATTGCCTGGTCCGTAAGTTGCTAGGCATTTTAAGACTGAACAATACAACTTTACGATAGATGACGACAACAACTGAACTTTACAATAGATGACAACAACAACTGAACTTTACAATAGATGACAACAACAACTGAACTTTACAATAGATGACAACAACAACTGAACTTTACAATAGATGACAACAACTGAACTTTACAATAGATGAGCTTGTTAGATGATCTGTTGGCACTCACCACACACGCGTTGTCCTTTGATGAAGTACGCTGACGGGTGCGTCTTCTTGCCGGTCTCGTCCACGCACCAGCAGCGGGGCTGAGACTCTTCAGGGGCCAGCAGGTCCGGGGTGGCCCAGTCGTGTACGTAGACGCCTACCAGAATGTAAGTTGTACAGTAGTAGAGCTTTACGGATATGAATAAGAATTATCTTCAGGGAAAAAACAACGACAAATAACTATTTTAAGATATATTTTACCGAGTTTTCCTTTGCGTAATATTACGGTATATGAAATTATGTACAAAGTAAAAAATGTTCTGTCGGTTTCTTCGTCAAAAATAAAAAGCACTAGTCACGAATGCTACAATAGAAATAATGCAGCAAAAGTTGTCGGATGTAGGACATGCGAATTGGTTATTTCCAATTTAAAAACTGTGAAAAATTAGTAAGTCAAAAACACTAGACTAATCCAACACCCGCATTATAGGACAGACAATAAGCTACCGCATTCGTTACACTACGGCAGGTGCTGATGTTCACACAGTAATTATCAGCTGCACTGCGGCAGGTGCTGATGTTCACACAGTAATCATCAGCTGCACTGCGGCAGGTCCTGATGTTCTCACAGTAATTAACCGCTGCAATGAGACAGGTGATGTTCACACAGTAATCATCAGCTGCCCTAGCTACATACGCACCCGTGAAGCACTGTGTGGGCAGGAAGCCGCCGCGTTCATCACACTGCGGCAGGTAGTGGCGGTGAGGGGCGTGGTGCTGCTGCTGTAGCAGGTGTCGTCGTAGCAGCTCACACCTGCCCACCGACGGCTCACCTTCGAGGTAAAGCGTCATGGGGCCTCGGCTGCCGTCAAGCTCCTCCTCGGATAATTTGTCTGGTAGGTCCTGCGCATAAGATCAAAGACATAATGAAAAGTGATGCTTCTAATACAAATAAAAAATATGATCAGTACTCACTGCAGTGAGTGACAGAGAGCGAATTTTCCGGTCCGTCCGTGACGTGGAAGTCACGGACGGACAGACATGAATCACGGACGGACATGACGAGCACAATAGCGTCTTTTTCCATAGATGAGAAAATGCGCTAAAAAGAGTCCTGGATATGTTTACAATGCCTTAGACGAGCTCTAAAATAGTTAGCTTAATTATTATACAATACTCGCAGGTATAAAATTTTCAACATGTGAGAATAAAGTTGAAAATGACATCCTTATTTTTCAATTCATTCGAGTGAAAACATGTTGATAAATGCCTAAATTCTTACCTGTTCATATGAAAAAGCTAGTATAGTTTTAGGAGGCAGAGTGGGTGTCTGGCACTGCACGTTCTGTCCGCGCTGGTCTGTGAAGTACGGCAGACACGTGCACGGCTCGACGGCACACACGGCCTCAGGGTAGCCGTAGCACGTCTGGTTACGGCACGCCTCGGAGCGAGAACACGGCCTTGGCTCCATGTTCGACGATGACCAGAACGGACACAGCACCATGTCNGGCACGCCTCGGAGCGAGAACACGGCCTCGGCTCCATGTTCGACGATGACCAGAACGGACACAGCACCATGTCTGCGTAACATGGGGAATTACGAACATGTTGGGGGTAATGAAGTCATTTACAGTGATACACATGGTGAACTACGGCAAATAGTGGACAAATTACCCCCATGTTCGGGTAATGAGCTGTCATTTACAGTGATACACATGGTAAACTACGGCAAATAGTGGACAAATTACCCCCATGTTGGGGGTAATGAGCTGTCATTTGCAGTGATACGCATGGTAAACGACAGCAAATAGTGGACAAAATAACAATTTGGTGAATAAAAAATTGAGCCACGAAAGCGGTTNTACACATGGTAAACGACAGCAAATAGTGGACAAAATAACAAGTTGGCGAATAAAGAAATTGAGCCACGAAGGCGGTTATTATCGAGAAAGTGCATATTGACTAAGTCCCCAAACAAATTTTAGAAAGTTATCGAACATATTGACCTAGCAAATAATAAATTACAATAAATTGAATAAAGATAAAACACTAACACACAACGTACACGCTAAAAAGTTGAGATGCCTCAGCAGCGAGATTTAGAAAAAAATTGTATGACTAGAGAGAGGGAGAGAAAGAGATAAAAAATTGCTGGAGGCTATAAAAACGATCCCTAGAAAAAAGATTCTTATTCCAGGGCTAAGTTTGAACAGACGTTTATAAGTTGCGTCGCTAGTGTATTCTTTCTAAGATATTAAAAATGTTCAAATTAAGTACGAATAATTATTGAGCTTGCATAATATTATAAATGTGTTCATACAATGTGTATCATAATTAATTGTATTACAAGACTAAGAGATTGACCAAAAAATATCAATTCAGAGTTATAGCAATATCAACCTGGGCAAGCTGCCTGACAGTGAAGCTTGGTGGGGAAGTTGTTAGCGTTGCCATCACATCCAGTGTAGAGGAAAGGTTGGCACGCCTGCGTCGCGCTGCTGTAGTACCAACGCGTTGTGCTGCCGTGACATGCGCCTGGCCGTACCGGCAGTTCGCATGCGTTCACTAGAAAAAAAAAAACAGTTAATTTCTCTCCAAACCGTGTATATTTTAGACAAGTAATAAATATGGTACCTAGTAAAAAAGCTTTATTGAATATATTTATTAGGACAAAATTATTTTTGAATTGTCATGGTGATAGCTCCTTTGAAAGTGAACATTTACGATAATTTTATTTCGTTTAACAGTATGGAAAATTCTTTACTTGGGCACAGCTAAGCTTTCACACTTTACTGGATTTGGATACGGATCTTGCTGCTAACGATGCAAAGAACTGACCCTATACACTACGATATTATTTATAGTCTTCGGGCAGTAATAATATGGACACAACGAGAGTTAGTATAGTACCTTTCTCGGCACTGAAGAATAGGCCTGGATAGGCCTGTCGCCGATTCTTGTATTTTTCTTGACTATACTGGCCTTTTGATCAAATCTTTTCAACAGACGGTAGGTTTAAAATAGTTTCAAGATTTCAGTTTCTAGTTCAATCGTTTTTAGTTGAAATGCAGGATAGATGAAAATACAACTGAACAGATGTAAATTAAGGAGCGGAACTTGCACGAGATCATATAGATTTTTCGTTTTATACTCCCTCTCTTCAGGTTTCATATGCATAAAGGCACGAATTTAGTTTCTGGCGTTTTACAATATTAACTTCAAAGGTTGCGAAGATATTTCAACGCAATTAAAGCCAGAAATTTCCAAGTTCCAAGATGCTCACCCGTTTCTTCGCAGCGCTGCTGACACTCCTCGATAGTGGCAAAGTTGTTATCGTTGCCCTGACATCCCCCGTAGTCGAACTCTTCACAAACGCCGCTGCTGGAGTTGTGGAAGAACCTCCTGAACGAGGCTCTGCACATGCCCTTGGCCAGAGGCTGCGAGCATTGCTCTTCACAGTGAACCTGTTCGCCGCTCGCACTGCAATGTCAGCAGGATGAATAATTTTAAAATGATTAAATGATGTCATTTTACCTACTCAAGGTATATTAATTAAACTTTAAGTTGAGATTAAATAAAGTATTTTCGTTATTTTACGACGTAGCAATGGTGTAGCAATCTTCACTCAATCTTGGCCATAACGAATAAACTTCAAATGAGTTTAAATAAAAGGGAATTCACGTTCTGCATTGGCATATGCCCAACTAATAAAAAAAGTTGGCGATGCGGCAGTTGTTGCAGGCAACTGTACCTGAAGAAGGCGATGCGGCAGTTGTTGCAGGCAACTGTACCTGAAGAAGGCGATGCGGCAGCTGTTGCAGGGGTCAGCAACACAGATAGCATCAGGATGCGCAGGGCAGGATGCACTGCGACACTCGTGATCGCACACTCGTGGCGTCACTCCAGGAAGTGAAGGACATACCGGCGACTGTGACACGCGTTCCAGGATTTGACCTGGCGAAATAATAATCTTAAAACGATTCTAACATAATCTTTATTTCACATATAGTTGCAAAGTTGATATTATTCTCTCAAAGACCGACGGCACCTAATTATGCACGGGAAAATGACTTGTAAGGGCAAATATACGGAACACGTCCAACGTTACATCCGGGACCCGAGGGCGGGGTGACCTGCCTAGCGACGACTCGGAGACGGAGGACGGCGCATCAGCGTGACCGGGGACTAGGAAGTCCCGAACTCATCAGGACATAAGGTACTGACCTCGAGGTCCGCATCGGACGTGGCCGAGGGTGAGGGTGTGATGGAAGGGCGCGCCTTTGGAGTCGACGCACCAGGACCAGCCGCGAGACGACTGAGTCCTGGCATACGAACCGTCCCGCTCACACAGCGGCACCGACGCCAGCATCCCCGAGCTTGAGAAAGGGATCTCTGCGTACGGGCAGGCGTAATAACCGAGATTAAGAACTCATCTGGCTTTTTTCAAACACGAGGTTAATTATATAATTGAATGGAATTTGTAAGTGATGCTCACAATACTACGTGTCATTCATGGTTGTTAGCCATTTTTGAAAAAAATACCGTATGCAATACGGCAATTAAAGAAATTGTACGTGCAGAATTGAACTTGTAATTTCACAGGCATAGAATTTATAGAAATTTATGACAGAACATTGAAAAACTTCTCCAGGGATAACGCTGAGTGGAAGTTCCAGGCATAGTTTAGTTTAGTCCCCATGGCATGGTTTAGTTACCGAGGAAATCTGCTGCTTATCAGCCAAAGTCTCTTTTAAATTGTAAACAAAATAATGTTTCCAGAGGTCTTGGTCATCAACGGTCTCACCCAGCGGCTGTAGACAAGCTGAGCCGCAGCCGGTAAAGCAGCACTTGGCAGACCCTCTGCAGTGGTGGTCCACCAGACACTCCTGACGAGGCTGGCACGTCAGCAGACTCACGTCAGCGGCAGGATTAGGGCACGTCCCAGGCTTGGGGGTTGCGTCGTCTGTCCAAGGAAACCTAATTATCACCGCTCAAATATTCATCTTTTAAATTAAAATTAGTAGTTTCAAGCTAAATCACGGTATTTACGAACAATCTGGAAATTTATTACAATTCACAATATTATTCAAACAAGATTCAGCAATGGCAAGGGAATGGAGACTGAAAATTTGAAAATCGCGGAAAATCGAGACAAACTACAAAACATGATAGAGTTCGGATGAGTGCTAAATAACTCAAATTCTTTCATGCTGAATACTGCCCTTCGAATAGAATGAATACTGCCCTTCGTGAACCGGTGCATTACCAGAACAATGTTGGCGGATCTGGTTCCTGTTTCTTAACTTCTTCCAATTGACTGATAAGGATCTTTCCTTGAGCTTCTTTGATCCCTTCATGTCCGCATTGATTGTGCGATAAAATTGAATTCCATAAGATGCTCAACTATCTACCAGGGAAAATCATGGACGTCATACGAACTTTCAATATCTCAGCAAAGTATCTTAAGAAAAAAAAAAATGCCTAATAGTACATTTTCTTGACTAACCAGTAAAATCGTAGTCCGCTGATGTCAGGCTGCTCTCATCATCTTCATCGAGACGTCGGGAGCTTGGTACACTAGCTGGCATCACCAAGTCATCGTCATTCAATGACGACAGCTGCACATAAAAAATATGAGGTCGATTGTCACGTCAGCACGTCAGCTAACTCCACCTTAACAATGTGATAGTTGCAGCTAGGCACATATATAAAGGCAAGGGAGTCTCAATTTTCACTTGACAGCTCAGGGAAACACCATAAGGTGTTTACATTTATAACCAACCGCTTGCACTTAAGAGGATGATCATCAGTTAAGTACTTTAAGGTTATATAGACATGAAGCTACAAATTTGAGAGTTCAGGTAAAGCCTAAAAACTTCAACACAAACGTACTTGTGTCGGAGATCTGCGGCTGCGGAAGAGTCGGCCGGAAGGTATACTCTGATCCGTCGGCCGTCCTGAGCCATCGTTTGAATCCATTGAAGATGTCGGCTCGTCAAAATGCAACGCAAAATGAGTCGTGAAGATTTCAGAAGCCTCAGTCTCATCAGGATCAAGAAACTCTGAGGGCTTCGTAGGGTCAGCAACTCTAGCAGTCGGTTGAGAAAAGCTCGAGTCGAAAGAAATCGCTGGTGGACTGGGCTCCGAGTTCGGAGATGCAGGAGAAATGTAAACATCCGCGTTATGGAGGCGATCGAAAACTGCGTTGTCTTTGTAGGAACGCCCATCATCTGAAGATGCTGTAACACAAGAGACACCAAAGATTGACAAAAATTTCGTTTGACTACTTCAATGAAGATCGACAATACGTGAATGAGAGAAACTCCGAATTCAGAACCGCCACAGAATGCACATTAATAAATAGAAATGATTATTATAAAGAACGTACAGTATTTTGAACTATTACAGTAACTATACTCGTTCGTTGCGAGGAAACATCAAGAGGGCCTTAACAACTTCTAATATTTTTAAAGCGAAGAAAATCCACGCGCAAGTCCTGTATTTTGCCAGAAAAAGTACCATTTCGACACCACGATAATATAGTTAATTCATGACGTCTCTGACTCTGATTAAAAGCCCAGTTTTAAAAACATCGAAACTCTTTCTATAGTTTACCCTGGAATGTTCTTTGCGAAGCCGGAGAGTTGAGAGCCTCCTGCAAGTCTCTCTGACAGGGCGTGAGGTCCTCGCGACACGACAATACTTTGTTGAAATCGTCGACGAACTCAATGGAACAGCCGTTGCAGGGGTTGATGCGGCACAGAGCGTTCGGTTGCGAGAGGCAAATCTTATTCTCGCAGAGCGACTTGTCGCAAACGTGCACCGTTTGTTCTTGGTCGCAGACTGGAAGCAGAGGAAACGCTCAGGAACGAGAATACAGAATCATTATGAAAAATTGATTCACAACAAAATTTAAAAGAGTATTTCCATTAAAAAATAATATAAAATTCTTACTGGCATTGGTAGGACCAAGCAAGTCAGTCTTCGAGATGTCGAGGCGTCGCCCCTGCCTAGCAGAGCCCGAACATTCCGGAGTTCCTCGGGTGAGGGAGCCTTCGACTTGATCGCCTTCAGGAGTGACGCACCAGCAAACGCCGAGCTCCTCGAGACACTGCTGGGGCAGCCACGCACCTGTGCCCTTCTCACACTTCGGGATGAACGTCATCTGCGAAAAAAGTAACGAGTTCGATGTAAGCCTCACTGCCCCAAATACAATGCGGGACAGGATGAGATGATACCCTGATACTTAAAACAATAATTACTGGAAGAGTATGGCAAATAAATGCTTAAATGTAGAGGAGAGAAAACTCACTCTCTTGTTCTTTTGCGCCTTCTGGATGTTTTTGGCTCTGAGCTTCTCACAGGAGCTGAGGACGGGGCACGCATTGCGACACTCGACCTCGGATTCAAAGTTGTTGAGGTTCCCACCGCATCCGCCGAAACGGAAGCTTTTGCATTCGTTGCTTTCCGGATCAAAATGCCAGCGGCGGATAGAGCCTTCGCAGAACCCGGAGTCGCGAGGTTCGTAGCAAACTTCCCCTGATGACAAAACAGAGCATAAGGTTTCTTATACACATACACGAGGCGAATAGTCGCGTCGATTAGAAGAGTCGACTACAGTTTTGCCGGCTGAGAGCCCATACACGAGGAGAGTGTTTTCGGTACAGTCCGCCGGTGCCAGTGAAACGTTGGGAGTTGTCGAGTAAGATGGATGCATGGTGGAAGCAAGCGAGAGGGACACAGTTGTGCGCAACACATCGACAAAGACACAAACAAGAGAGAAAGCGACGCAGTTGTGCATCTACAGAGGCCACGGAGGTACTGGGCTCACTCGACTGGCTCAGACCAACTTGAGTGGCTTTGGGTGCAATGCACCAGCTAGTCGCCTCTGAAGACGTTAATCATCACAAATATTTGAGCAGTCGACTCGAGTAATCGACGCGATCAGTCGCACGTGGAGTGCAGCGGGATTACGCCAGTCCTGCAAATAGCAGAGCAGGTTTACGATGATCCGGCTTGGCCTGCGACCAGTAAGGCTTACGGCGTGTGTAAGAAGTGATAGTATGGGGTAAAATTCTGTGGAGTAGGACCTGTTGACAATTGACTATTTGATTCAGCAGGATGTGGAGTGAGGTAGGTGTTGCTTAAAGTTGGTGTGGGGAGATGACTCAGTTACTTACAGCTTCTTGGGTGTGAGCTGAGTTTAGTTATTGCATTATAGGGTAGGCGTTGGCGCCAGGGCTTGTTTACGAGCTAAATTTGTGGTGTAGGGCTGCGCTCCCGAGTTGCTTTGGGTGCAATGCACCAGCTAGTCGCCTCTGAAGACGTTAATCATCACAAATATTTGAGCAGTCGACTCGAGTAATCGACGCGATCAGTCGCCCCGTGTATAAGCTACTAGTGCGTCAGCATGACGTTGAGAAAGCCAGTGTTTGGAGACCGGTGGCTTTCTGACAACAGTTCAAAAGATCCAAAAGCAGATATTAAATGACTTGAACAGTTAGTTAACAATATAAAGTTTGTATCCTATCATAAAAACTCGGTTACGACTCACTTGGCTTCCTGCAGCAGACGGCGTACTCTCCAAGCGGCGAGAGATGACATTTGTGGCTGGAAGGACACACTGTGCCCTGAGGGCCACACTGCAGCAACGTGTTGTTCACGGTCAAAGGGGAGCCTGATGAACACATTGGGTATAAACAGCACGATAATCGAAATGTGTCTTCCTTTGATACAGCATCTATATTAATGTTGCAGAATACAACTGGTCTACATGTAAATTATTGACCTAAATACATGTAAACTATTGACCTAAATGATAAGAATGAAACAATTAAAATTATAGTAATTAATTATCATTGATGCACTTAAAGGGGCCCGAAATAATTCACCTGTTGGACAAGGGTTGTCAATCTTGGGCAGGCAGACAGGCAAAGGAGGGCAAGGCTCGCCCACGCAGGCCACGTGCACGATGCGGCAGCTCTCGTAGGGCGAGTCACAAAACACTTCCTCACAAGGGTCCCGGCACGAGCACGTGGGGCAGCCACGCGAGTCCAGAGCACGGCCGTGGAGGCACGTGAGGTCACACGGCGTCTCAGGGCACGTGGCTGGCACCTGTGTGGTCACGTCAGGGATTTGGGATTTAGAAAAAAATAAAATAGAGTGAAAACTGACCAGGATTTAGGTGAAGCCAATTAGGATTTATGTGAAGAAAGTAAGTATGAACGCGAAGTAAACAGGAGAGTTAACGTCGCAAGTAACGTTGGTACTTAGAATTTTAGATGAATGAATTCGTGATCAAGCAAGAGTGGACATCGAACAAATATGAGGTTCAAATGCTTAGCTTCTCGTTCACTTTTGGCAGTCAACCAGTCATATCTCATTAATAATCAGGTTCTACCTCCTCAAATCCACTTATTTCTGTCAAAATAAGAATTCAGCAAAAACTCTACAACTCGATTCATTCCGAATGATTGAAAAAGTTAAAGCCCGAACTACACGTCACTTTGCTCCGACAATGAACCGACCACATCCATTTCCATCTTCGACACAAGGTGATTTTTGATTGATTGATCCGACACAAGTGTTTTCCATCGTCGCTCACCCTGCAGTTGGGCGTGGCGGGCTGGCTGACGCGGGTGCCGGGTGTCTCGAGACCATGGGTGTCGACACACCAGCAGGTGGTGGTGGCGGGGTGGCACTGCACTACCTCGAAGTTGCCCGCCGCGTCGCACTCAGGCAGGTACACGTGGCGCGCAGGCACCCCCGCCTCACGCGCGCGGTGCTCCAGCAGGGCGCGCTGGTGCTGGCATGCTGGTATACAATAACAGGAATAAGTCATGGAGATTCAGTTATCTTTTTGCAACTATCTTCATAGGCTTATAATATTCGACCACTTAATACCACAAATGAACGAAGTAATAATACATACACAGAAATGCGTCGGTGGTTATCTTACTAAACTTTTATTTACTCGTATAAAATATTTTTCATTCAATCAATCACAAATAATGAATCGTTCACAACAGCCGTCGATGGCTGAATCACTTTTGAAGTTTCCTATTATTGACTCCTGCACTGACCAGTCTTCATGATGGGCAGGACGCAGTGCATGCCGCATCCGTTGCTGCAACATTTCTCGTCGCCCTGACAGTGCACGTCAGACGAGCACTCCAGGTCGCAGGACTGACTCGTCGCCGGCACTAGGAACGGACACTGACCTAACTTTCCGGACGGTGAAGCTGCGGGGTCACCAGGGCGGTTATTAAATGATCACAGATTTTAATACTAACAAATACTTCAATACTAACAAATACTATAATACTAAAAAAACTTCAATAGTAACAAATACTTTAATACTTACAAATTATTAGTAAAAATATCTATCATGCAAAATTATCAGTAAGTCACTAAAGAAATTGAAAGAAAAACTCAATTCAGCAATAGCCAACTCCATCTTAAAATATAACTTTAATTGATATACAAGACAAGAAATCCGACAAAAACTGACCCTGCGAGTAGCAACACACGCCTTCTACGTCGTTTTCCTGGGCGACGCAGGAATAGCCCCTGGGACACTCGAGGGCCCGGGCCCTGGGGCTGCACGAGAGGGTATCGTTGGTCCCGGGCACCAGGTAGGGCACCCCGGTGGGACAACTCGGCGCCCGTCCCCCCGGGTGGTGTTGCGGGACGCACTGGGGTATGGGGGGACACACGCCGTCCACGCACGGGATGTCCACCAACTCGCACGTGAATCCGGAACTGCATTCCACGTCCTAAGGAACAGGCGTGACGAAATAGCGAAGTCTAAATAATTTCACACAGACAAACCAATCAATGAGAAACAATAATGCCCATTGGGTTTGGTTTTAAGCCAGACTGATATTGAGCGGAAGTGGGTAAATTCATTTCAACGTTGAGAAATTCAATGGTTAAAATAAACAATGGCATGCGTGGCTATATTATGTGTAGGCATCCGCGGCTCACGTCGCAGGGGTCGCGGCACATGCAGAGCGGGCACGCCGTGTCGGGGTCCAGCACGAAGCCGTAGTCGCAGCCGAGACGACACAGCACCTCACCGCACGTCAGAGATTCGCGCAGCTTCTCGCACGTCACCAGCGACCGCGACGAGACTCTGACGGGTAGAAATTGAGTGATTTGTAATGCGAATCAAGGAATTAAATGTGATTGCACTTCGATGATGCTGATGATTGCACGACCTGTTGTGTACAAAACTGCTGTGCAATTTAGGAATTTGTTCTAAATTAAGATCTAGAAGTAAAAATTAGATTTCCAAATTCAATGCACTTCAGTACCGTGACTACAGAATGTTTCAGACTGTTGTAGTCACTCTCTTTATAAGGCTAGGCCGAACTGTCGGCCAGATCTTTAGACACCACACTATGGAGACATGACCACTCGATCTGATATTGAGCGAATATCAGTTTATCGCACTTCAGCACAGCAGTTGTCGTGGGCATACTTTCATTCGTGCACTCGCTCATTCACGCTTTTTCGCGCCTTGCTCGCTTTATTTCTCCGAGTTATCTGCCCACGTACGGGGAAAGGAGACGAGCGGCACTCTGCGAACACCTCGTGGCGCATTCTAGCTTGCCTAATTTGGCGGTTGGCCCTGGAGGGATCCGTGGATTCGAAGAGAGCTACGATCCTCGCAGTGAAAGCCTTTAAGGTGAGATCACTGTACTACTCTAAGAGTGCACTTGTTCTCATTCATTATGGAAATAGTTTCCGATATCTGAGCACGTGACTAATTACTATATAAAATGCTTCAACGTCTTGAATAATCTGAAACTATCGAGTTTGAAATTTTAATTTAATTAGATATTATAAAAATAGATTGCTCTATATCCTATCCGTATTGGCATCAAACTTTTATACATTTATGTCAACAGACTCTAAGTTGCGCTGGAACTTGGATGCCTGGTACGAGTCTGGGTTGGATGTTTTGGAAGTCGTTTTCCGAATAGTCGAGTAGTTGATTAAATTTACTCAGTACCTCGTCTCTTGTAAATTTTCCTCAATTTTAGTGCATATTGAAACAGATTGATAGTGGTTTGGAGCATTGATTTGACTGAAGCAAGTAAAGAGTCTTGCTCGACCAGATAATAAAATGCAATAACACAATAAATTATCGTACACAATGTCCAGCATGAAAGTATGGCATCGCATTGCGCAGTGAGATGTTGCTCACGGCACAGGAACATGACTCACTTGGTGCCGGGGATGTAGGAGCCGTAGTCGTCGACGCACCAGCACTGGTCGAGCTCGTTGCATTGCACCTGCTCGTAGGCGCCGTCGCTGGCACAAGACGGTGTCGCAATCGCCAGGTCGAGGCCCTCAAGCTCCACCAGATCGCGCAGGTACTCGCACACTGACGAACGTTCATGTCAATACACTAAGTGAAAAATACGTAGCAGTAACTTGAAAAATTTCAGTAATTATAATCCAATCAGACAAATTAACGAGTGTCACTATTATCTGAACATTGAAGATGCTCCCTATTTAAAATAAAATCATTATGAATGCTGATTATTCCGGCTGCCAAGTAGAGGTCCACACTGATCTATTGACTGGTTAGGACCGGCAGAGAAGCGTCCACAAGCTGATGAAGCCTGCCGAGCACGCATATCCACTAACTCGTGGGGCCCTGAAGGAAAGCTTGCTGAGCGCTGTAGTTGAGGTCGTGGAGGAGGTCCTCAACACACACAGGGCCCCCGCATACGGGCACCACGCAGCACTTGGCGCCCCCGCTGCAGTGGTCGTCAGAGGAGCACACGGACGACAACGAACACAGGGTCTCGTCAGCGTCGCCCAGGAACGGACACTTGCCGGGCTTGGTGCTTTCTGTACCGGGAAAAATATCGCGTAAACTCAATCATGACACAATGAAATGACAGAATACATCGACATATACCACTTTTAAGAGTAAGAATTAAACATCTTAAAGAACTTACTAACCGAGGTGGGTATTATTGAGTATTCACATACGCCAACCAAGCGATCACAAGACACGGAGTTCATAAGCAAGTGGCACCGATTCGTTCGAGCATGGTGGAGCCAATTGAATTAATCGGAGGAATAGTGTTCATCTTGATAAATGTATTATCAAGAGTAGGGAACAATAGTACTAAAGTCAATGAGCTGCACTCCTAGAACAGTTTTTTTGACATTAGTTGTATACTATGCCCTCGTTAGACGCAGGAATCGAATCTCACCAATCTGCTTGGGCATGGGGCAGCAGAAGGGTTTGACGTGCTCCTGGCCTCCCCCTGGCATGGTGCAGAAGTGTTCGGGAGGGCACGGGTTGTGTTCATCACATTGTAGGATCATACCCCCAACAGACAGAGGAGCTAATCCCAAAGGGCATATTGACAAAGCAATGTCGGGTTCATGAGTCTCATCATCAGAATCTGACGTGGTCGTCTCTCCAGAGGCAAGGCTTGTTGAGTCCGAGCGTCCGCTCGGCTCATCCGTTACATTCGCAATATCTTGCTTAACTAATTCCTTCTCGGATTCGTATTTGCCTGTAAATGTCAAGGAGAGAATAAAAATCACGTGAAATGATTTCCTAGAATCCCACTTTAATGAATGATATAAAATAGGTTATGAAACTTTATTTTATTCAATAAAAAAGTTTCCGCAAAACAAACCTATCGCAATAGTTTAAATTTTTGGACTGAAAAATTCAAAATGTCTAAGGACAAGTTAACGAAAAATATGATCCCTTTCAATTAAATGCGCCAACAATTAATACACTTTTCAACGCAATAAAAAAATCAGTACTTACAAAGAGGAGCGTATGCACACTGGCTCGCGACACATCGTTCCTGCATGACACAGCGAGCGCCAGGCGGACACAGCACCTCGCGACACGGCTCCGCACACTGACACACGGAACAGCCCGCCTCGTCCACGTGATAGCCGTAGTCGCATACCAGGCCGCACTGCAGCGGGGCGCACGACATGCGCGATGTGGCTATTGCTGCGGGGGTTGTTTACACTAGAAACGTGCATACCATGGGTGCACATTGCTACGAGGGTTTTTCTCATTAAATGAACATACATGAACATCGCTACTTGCGTCGTGATCTTTAAATGCATATCTCTACTTGCGTCGTTATCATTAAATGAACATCTCTACTTGCGTCGTTATCATTAAATGAACATCTCTACTTGCGTNGAACATCGTTACTTGTGTCGTGATCTTTAAATGCATATCTCTACTTGTTTCGTTATCATTAAATGAACATACATGAACATCGTTACTTGTGTCGTTATCATTAAATGAACATACATGAACATCACTACTTGCGTCGTGATCTTTAAATGCGCATCTCTACTTGCGTCATTATCATTAAATGAACATACATGAACATCGCTACTTGTGTCGTTATCATTAAATGAACATACATGAACATCGCTGCGGGCGTTGTTCTCATTAGATGAGTATGCATGAACATGGACGGACGTTGCTTTCACTATATACACATACATATGCACATTTCTGAGGACGCTGTATCTGCAGTGGTGGTCCACCAGACACTCCTGACGAGGCTGGCACGTCAGCAGACTCACGTCAGCGGCAGGATTAGGGCACGTCCCAGGCTTGGGGGAAGCGTCGTCTGTCCAAGGAAGCCATACTATCACCGCTCAAATATTCATCGTTTACATTAGTCGTTTATAGCAAAATCACGATATTTACAGACAATCAGGAAATTTATTACATTTCACAATATTAGTTCCACAAGATTCGGCAATGGGCAAGGGAAGGGTCCGAAGGGAGACTGAAAATTTGATAATCACAGAAAATCGAGACTGAAACTACAAAAGATGATAGAGTGCGGATGAGTGCTAAATAACTTAATTCTTTCATACTGAATATTGCTGCTCGCATAGATAATGATAATAATAGAGGAACCTTTCAGTAAGAAACTGGCCGGTCTGGGGAGACGAGCTTCGAGAGCATGGTGGTCGTGCGGTATATATAGTCGATTGACGAGCTTAATACTGCTTCAGACTATTCAATGAATCTTCGATGATATTTAGACTATTCAAGAACCCAAGGTGATGAACCCGCCTGCTGGACGAAAGGGAGCCAGTAGATGCAGTGTACCTCGATTTTGCCAAGGCATTTGACAGTGTCCCACATGAGCGGCTGTTGCAAAGTGACAAGCAACAGCATCTTGCATCAGCTGGCCCAACGGAGGGCAAATATACGGAACACGTCCAACGTTACATCCGGGACCCGAGGGCGGGGTGACCTGCCTAGCGACGACTCGGAGACGGAGGACGACGAAAGCGGCGCATCAGCTTGACCGTGGACTACGAAGTCCTAAACTCATTACAAGGTAACAAGGTCACAACAATAAGCTGCTTACGTAACCACTTAACCACACATCAAAAACTGCGAAAATAACATCAATGTAACCACTACTATCAAAGTAACCCCACAACTGGGACCTGCCCTCTCCACTGCAAGCCCTGCAGTGAGGCACGCGAATCCCAAGAAGCTTATGACGAGCTAAGACGCGCCAGAAAATGCACTTCGGTGAGAGGGAAAGAGGTTAAAAGAGAAAATATTCTTTTATTGCTGGATTCAGGAAGTGGCCGCCAATAATAAATAAAAATCGCGCCTAATAAGCTTCCAGAGAAAGGATAAATTGCACTAGCAGTAATTTTCCTGGCTGGTAGTCATTGCTGATGTGCGCATCTCCCGATCGTCTGAATCAAATAAGATTGTGAATTGTGCTAAACTATATTTGAAATTAATAAACTTCCACTCGCGAACAATTATTTTGAAGCAACAACGTCCCGAGATGAAGAAAAGAACTCACGTTTGTCGCCGTCACAGGTGACTTCAGCAGCAGGCCCAATGCTGCGCGGCTGCTTGTTGCCCAAGCCGTCAACGCACCAACACACGAGACCGTTGCGGGAGCACTGGCGGGTAGCGTAGAGTCCATCATCATCACGACACTGCGGTACGTAGCCGCGACCCTCGCGCTCTGACACGATCAGCAACTCGGCGATCATGCGCTGCTGCATGCACGCTGAAGAAAAGAAAATCAAGCGAGGGTTATCATGGGACTAAACTGTTGGAACAAAATTGAAAAAATGAGGAGAAAACATTAAAATGAGGCAGTCTCAGTATTTGTAATGGCGCTAAAACACGATCAGTAACTCGGCGATCATGCGCTGCTGCATGCACGCTGAAGCAAGGCAAATCAAGAGAGGGTTATCAAGCCACAGGACAAAACTCTTAAAACAAAATTTAAAAAAAAAACATTAAAATGAGGCAGTCATAGTATTTTAAATGGCGTTAATACACGATCAGTTGCCAAGCGATAATGCCTTGATAAACGATCTTGGAAAATGAGTGGAGGAGGTGTGGTTCGGAGTTGAAGATTATTCGATAAAATCATTCTAACATCGTAATTGCGGGACCCAATCAGCGTCCATGTTTAGATAAATTGACTCATCACCGAGGAAAATTACTTGTTTGCCGGTACGTCTGATCCTGAGATTATTATAAGATCCAGCGACTATCTTTCTCGCGTTGAACTAAACATTGGCAATATGGTGAAAAGCTAGTGAATGATCAAAAAATGTATCCAAGTTTAAATACTCAGTTCAACCACATCTTAACACTTCTGGCGCAAGATGCGTTCAACTTCAGACAACTATACTGCTCAGGCGCTGGCATTCTAAAAAAAAGTATTATTAATGCACAAAAACTGACCTATCAGATAACTGAATAACAATCTAACTCTGACCACTCAGACATCTGAATATTAAGCAAGCTCTGACCACTTCAGATATCTTATAATATCTAAACTCTGGCCACTTAAGACAACTGAATAATATCCAAACTCTGACCACTCAAGACTACTAAATACTAAACAAATTCTGACCAACAGAGTGACACCAGAAAGCAAACGAGACAACTCACAAATATATCTTTAGTTGGCATTAACCTGTCCGTGAATAAGGAGACAGCCTTGAACAGTGTACACATTCTCAAAATTACGTAATAGTGCCTCGAGAGAGAAGCAGGAAGATTAAATCATAACGACCGGAGAATCTTACCCAAAACTCTGCACATAGACCTTGTAGGCACCCATTATTCAGCAAAACAAATAATTTAATCGCAAACGTCTGCAGCAGTAGGGGAAAAAAGCGGAAGACAACACAGGTACAAAGTCTGAGATTTATTGGGGTCCCGGAGCGGCGGTGACGCAGAGTAACGATTCTTTAGGAGTCCTTCTAAGATCTCAGCAAAGTTGCCGCCCTTCGCTAAGCAACTTGCAGCTAAACTTAGGCTGACGCTCGCCAGATTGCAAGCTTTGGACTTAACTTTGTGAAACAGGGATGAATTTACGGACTCTTGGAGGCAAAACTTTGAGCGGGCGCTGTTTAATACGAAGGAGTATTGACCTCTGTGTCGCTCTTACGTAAAAGTAGCCTAAATTTTGAACATTTTTACTACTGATGAGAGACAAGTTGGATTAAGGTCTCTATGAATGATGCTTCCAGCAATAACACTCGGTGCTGTTAATCCTTTTGAAGAGTCATTGTGATTTGTCCTTCAAATTTGACATTAGTTAAATAAAATTATCTTACATGCTACATAGAAATAACTTTACTTCCAGGAACACGTAAGAGAATTTTCAATTTCCTTTCCTAATAGAGCGGATAGTCAATGTTGCGCATATAACAAGGAAATAGCGACGTATTTCATACAATGCTATTTAATGAATGTTCCAAAAACAAGCACAGATCCGGTTTACAGGCTTAGTGATCTTGAAGCATTCACTAAGATAAAATGTTACTTTTCGACTCGGTTATAACAGGCACAACGTTCTTTATCTTAAAGTATTTGTGAGTCACGAACACAGTTCGGCAGATATTAAAACGCCCTGACGATCTTAATATTTTTAAAGGCACATCAAAATTAATATTTGCACAGATTTCCGGAAGCGAATGAATTGAAAATTTAGGAGAAATCCCGGGATATTACGGCGAAGAAGTCCCAAGAACCTAATGTGCCACCTGCAGGGCAATATTTTTGCGCTCGGAGAGATAACAGGAAATCTAATGCGGGCACAAAAGGCATAAAAATAGTAGGCGCTCATTCCGCTCCGACTCGACCCGAGACCGCCGGCTGGTGTGTATGTAGTTTAAAAAATTATCCACGCCGACAAATTGTTTAAAAATTGAACTGTAATGGAACCGCCTTCACAAATGTGATGCGCAATATTCTATATGAGGAAGCCGTTCTCATGACATTCGGTTGTTTTCGAGTCGAAAAATTAGTTATCGTCATAAAATTTAATCTGACTTAACGCTCCGATGACGATCATCCGTAAATGACATTTATTTCAAATATTTTGACAAAAATTATCACCGCTACCATTTTCTATACAACTACATTGGGGAAAATGTGCGGAAAAGGAAAGAAACAGATTCTAACCTGAATGTTCAAGGGATGAGGACAGCGAGTTCTCAATAGATTACACAGGATAAAATCGTAGGTTAAACAAAAGAATTTGTAATCATCGTCGGATAGAATAGAACAAAGGCAGGGTCCGGAGAGAGGCGACAGTGAGAAGAAAGAGAGGCAGTCGGTAGATCCCTAGCCTGATCTCCTCAACGAGGAGAACTTATCTCAATGGCAACCCAAGAATCCTGCAGGATCAACGCAGATCCCTTCCTTAGTCAAGCTGGGCGAGTAAAATAGAGTGAAATAATTTGCAGGTAATATATAATTTACGGATTAGATTGATCCGAGGGTAACGTAATTTGCGGACCGGAGTGACCTGTTAGGAAACGTACTTAGGAGTGGTCACTGGTCAGAAGGGAACATAATTCATGGAGTAATTTAGGGAGTGGAGTGATCTGAGGAGAATGTAATTTAAGGATTGATTTAGGCAGTGATCTGAGGGGAGCGTAATTCAAGGAGTAATTTAGGGAGTAGAGTGATCTGAGGAGAACGTAATTTAAGGATTAATTTAGGGGGTGATCTGAGGGGAGCGTAATTCAAGGAGTAATTTAGGGAGTAGAGTGATCTGAGGAGAACGTAATTTAAGGATTAATTTAGGGGGTGATCTGAGGGGAGCGTAATTCAAGGAGTAATTTAGGGAGTAGAGTGATCTGAGGAGAACGTAATTTAAGGATTAATTTAGGGGGTGATCTGAGGGGAGCGTAATTCAAGGAGTAATTTAGGGAGTAGAGTGATCTGAGGAGAACGTAATTTAAGGATTAATTTAGGGGGTGATCTGAGGGGAGCGTAATTCAAGGAGTAATTTAGGGAGTAGAGTGATCTGAGGAGAACGTAATTTAAGGATTAATTTAGGGGGTGATCTGAGGGGAGCGTAATTCAAGGAGTAATTTAGGGAGTAGAGTGATCTGAGGAGAACGTAATTTAAGGATTAATTTAGGGGGTGATCTGAGGGGAGCGTAATTCAAGGAGTAATTTAGGGAGTAGAGTGATCTGAGGAGAACGTAATTTAAGGATTAATTTAGGGGGTGATCTGAGGGGAGCGTAATTCAAGGAGTAATTTAGAGATTAGCGGAGAAATGCTTTCTTTCACAGGGAGGAGATTTAAGTGAAAAAACATCGCTCCTTCGCCGAGGTGCGGGACCATAATGTGACGCACTTTAAAACAAGACAGCGCAACAACGGCTCTTATATCTTCTCTGGCCATGTACGCAGCTAAGAGTGAGGCAGTTATTAAGGCGACCTACACGATGTAGCGTTCGCTAATGTATTCTACAGTTCAGGAGTTTGCTTAAGCGCTTCAAGTCAGTCAGTGGAAAACACAAGGGCTTGTCAGATGACCAACCACAATATATATCGTGTCGGGATGATAATTTTATCATTAATGGTGGAAGCGTACAGCCTTAGAATAAGGCTTGCATGGCGTTAGAGATGAGTCAAATTAAAAAAAAATAAAAGAATAGAAATTAGTTATGTTATAAGTAATGCGCACGGAAAAGAAACAATGTACAGGTATTCATCACAACTTAAGACATACTCCAACGGATGCCTCGGCAGTACTGGCATAGAACGCACAAAATTCCCATCAAAGGCAAAATTTTCTACTCTTCAAGGAGCGCTAATTCAAATGTATCAACATTTATATGTAATAATATATATGTTGTTTAATTCGACTATAAACATAGAGAGAGATCATTAGGGTCGTCAGGCTGGATGGAGTATTAACTATTAACGGCACCAGTTTTGAGTCAGAAGGCACTTCTATTTTCTTATTCTGTTTGAATGAAAATAGGTGCACTGACCAGTAAGGTTGGCAGGCTGTATGCAGTGTTGGCCGCAAATATCGGACATGCAGCACTTCTGCGTGGACGGACACTGCAAGTCATGACTGCAACTCACGCCGCACCGCAGCTCTTCAGCTTCTTCCATCACCAAGCCACTCGCAGTCAAGTCATCGATGATTTCAACATTTGTGTCTTTGGTGATCTTCAGGACGCCTGCCGAAGACGATTTTTTCGGGCTTGCCGAGGGCTTAGAGGTTTCCGACGAAGGATTGGACGGCGTGTCATTTGGACATGTGCCAGGCTTGATGAGTCTGTTGACGTCAGCGCAACAAACGCCGTAGTCGTGACCTGTTGTGAACAAACTTGTTAGTTCACAATATAAAATACATTACATGATAAATTTCATTTAAGGGAGATCTGAAAAAAAAACTTTTAGAAGTGCTTCGCTGAATCTGTAGGGGCAATGGAAGAACCAATCGTAGCAGTCGCCTCCCTTTAGTGGTGCCGACAGAGCTCTCTGTTCTAAAAATTCTTCTCCTCAGTTCTCAGAACAAAGTTTTATGACTTTTACAATGAATTAGAATGCTAAACGTTTGCATAATACTATAAAAGTCACGCAATTACTGAGAATTAGAAACAAGAATATCGTTCCAGTTAGACACGAATCACTAAATCGGGTGGGTGAATTTGTCGAGATAGACCAGCCAATAAAGTTTCCTCAATGCTTAGGTTGGCCAAGAGGCCGAGGTGGGCCGAAAGGCCAAGTTAAACCACCAGGCCAAGATGGGCCAGCAAAGGTCTGGCCCGTGTTGGCCAATTTACAGGAGCGCCGAGGACTAACTCTAGTCGTAAAGCCACTAATTGGCGATGAGGAGAGCATCGGCTGACAAACTGGGCCCAATCCTGCATCTGGGCTGGGATTAATGCTGGGCGAGGACGATATTCAGCACAGGGTCTTGACTGGGATTGATTCCGAATCTCAAACGGGGTACAGTTACGACTGGGAATAGTAATAAATCTCGGGTATAAAGTGGTTATGCATCAAATCGCATTTTAAAATCTAGTCGAACGAAGATTAGTCGAAGGTCTAATTCTATGCATCAATGATTTAGCTTGTATTTTCCAGTCATTCACTGGAGACGGAACCTCAATGAGGGCATGAGCAACATAAGAAATTTAGTAAGCATACAGAAAAAATCCTATATATTAAACACTATTTTATAGGGAGCAATCGGGCCGACTTGCTTCAGTTTCAAATTTATGAACGGATGTTAAGCTGAAGTTTAAGGGGTTTACGACGATCCTAATTAAAACTTTTTTTTTTGAACGGTCAAAAAATAATTAATCGTAAGCACAAACTGTTTCGCGATGACTTCACTAACGAGGGACAAACTAGCACTAGCTAGTAACTAGTGGGCATTAAGATTGATTTGCCAGGAAATAGTATAGGTCAATACAACAATAAATTAAATAACAGAAACAATGTGTTTTCAAGTGTACATAACTAACAGAGAAAACGTTTCGACAGATTATAATTCTACTATGTTACCTCGCCCCCTTCAGGAGGTAACGATGCACCAAAATTGAGTGCCGACTGCCGAGGCATCAACCTAAAGTGACGAGTCACCAGCCTGTATTGTCGTGGCATAACTGGGGTGACGAGGTACCAACCTGGGGTGACGCGGTATCAACCTTGGGTGAAGAGGTACCAGAAAAATCTAGTCGAACGAAGATTAGTCGAAGGTCTAATTCTATGCATCAATGATTTAGCTTGTATTTTCCAGTCATTCACTGGAGACGGAACCTCATTGAAGGCACGAGCAGCATAATAAATATAGTGAGCATACAGAATGAATCCTAGAGATCAAAAACTATTTTATTGGGAGGCGCCTCTGGTAGCAATAGAAGATCGGATCGACTTGCTTGAGTTACTAATTTATAAACGGATGATAAGATGAAGTTTACGGTGTTTATGACGATCCTAATTAACACTCTCTTAGTCATACATTACACCATCGATTAAAAAAATAACGACTTATCTTTTGTATCAGAGCTCCTCGATGTGAGGGAAAACAATAAAATCAAACTAGAATGTTTACCTAACAACCCGACCCAGCTGGAATGTGTCACGAGATTCCATGAATTAACCGTAAGCACAAGCTGTTTCGCGATGACGTCACTAATGAGGGACAAACTAGCACTAGCTAGTAACTAGTGGGCATTAAGATTGATTTGACAGGAAATAGCATAGGTCAATACAACAATGAACTAAATAACAGAAACAATGTGTTGACAAATGTATATAACTTCCAGAAAATACATTTCGACAGATTACAATTATTCTACTTTGTTACCTCGCCCCCTCCAGGAGGTAACGACGCACCAAAATTGAGTGCCGAGGCATCAACCTAAAGTGATGAGTCACCAGCCTGTATTGTCGTGGCACCAACCAGGGGCAAGGCGGTACCAGCCTTGGGTGAAGAGGTACCAATCTGGGGTGACGCGGTACAAGCCTGGGGTGACGCGGTACCAACCTGGGGTGACGAGGTACCAACCTGGGGTGACGAGGTACCAACCTGGGGTGACGCGGTACCAACCTGGGGTGACGAGGTACCAACCTGGGGTGACGAACGCGGTACCAGCCTTGGGTGACGCGGTACCAGCCTTGGGTGACGCGGTATCAGCCTTGGGTGACGCGGTACCAGCCTGGGGTGACGAGGTACCAACCTGGGGTGACGCGGTACCAACCTGGGGTGACGCGGTACCAACCTTGGGTGACGCGGTACCAGTCTTGGGTGACGCGACGCGGTACCAGCCTCGGGTGACGAGGTACCAACCTGGGGTGACGTGGCACCTGTAGAGCGCAGGACAGGCAGGTTTGCTGGGCACGTCACCACACAAGAAGGGGCGATCGTCAGAGTCGTCAATCATGAGAGGGGCGCCAAGAGGACACAGAGACTCCAGGCTGGGCGGCTTCTGGCCTGCAGCAAACAGAGCGGAGGTCGTTAGCTCTAATTAACTCGGGCGGGAGGAAATGTTTTGGGAGGAAATAAGAGGAAAGATGTAAGGGAACACCGTGCAATACCGTCTTGATCAATGCAACACCGTCTTGATTAATGGTTTGGTTACGGGTGTTCATGATCTAAGTTTTGAGTCACCTCTCACGTGACCTCGTGGAGACATGCTAAGTGCTTTTCATTGTTCTTTGATCCCCCACGGAGGTACACGATAGTATTGGGTCTGTTTGTTTTCGTGATAATTAGATGTCGATTCAGTGGTTTGAATGTGAATATTATTTATATTAGTAGATTATTTATTTTGTGTTGTGCTTTATTTATGTTGTTTATTTATGCATTTTCACAAAGGTTCCAAAATTGCAGTCCAAAGTTGAAACACGAGCAATGGAAGCATACGGTTTATATTTTTGTACGGTTGAATATTTTTTATTATAATTATAGTTTATTTTAATTATAGTATGTTTATATGATTTTATTCACAAGGCTCATTTATTTGCCTATTTGCAAATATTCTCACGTTGTTTGCTACGCTCAAACGATATAATGGGGATTATTATTTTAATATTATTATTATATTAAAATGGCTATTATTGATGCTTGTTAATGGAGATAATTGCGATAAATGCGATTTGTATATATTATTCTCTATAAGCTGTAAAATAATATTGACATTTGAGACCACCAGTCGCCGCTACGAGCGTGACGGCAATGCTGCCGCTGGAGATATTTAAATTACTGAATTTAATTAAAGGAATTTAGTTGAATTAATTTAATTACTGATTTTTTGGCTCATAAAAAATAATAACAGTCGTGGATGAGGTATAGAAGTAATAATTTTAAACAGATATGAGCAACAAATGAAAGTCAATTGCACGATTTTCAATTGGTGCTTCCATTCTAAATTAGTGCTCAATGAATGACATACAAGCATCAGAGCTCATAAACTGTGCGATAACCAGGATATTTGCGATATAATTAATGAATGTTTTATGGGACGTTCGCTTAAACAATAGATGATTTTTCACATATGATCCTCACACAACTCACGTTAAGAACCTCCCATGATAAAAGATTCTAGGAAATAACTAAATTATCTTGAAGATAACTAAATTAAAACATTATTTTGATTAAATTGTCGCTTTCCGTTACGGCCAGCGCAAGCTAATGAGCGGAACGGGAAGCGAATATTTCTCAAGGTGATTATAGACGCGAAATATATGCACTTAAGAAAAAAAATATAACTCAGTACTCACTGAAGTGAGTGACAGAGAGCGCATTTTCTCGTCGACGAAACCGTGAAGTCACGGACGGACAGAGGGACGGACAGACGGACATGGCGAGCACAATAGCGCATTTTTTCCATAAATGAAAAAATGCGCTAAAAAGAATAATGTAATGTTTGTCGATCTATGTAAGGCTGAAACCGTTGTTATAATAGAGTACACAGGAGCCAGAAACAAACATGAGAGATCATTGGTGCTCCCTGATCATCACAGAAAATACGACCTCGAATAGGCGTGTAACTGTTCTCTTCTGACCAAATCTCCGGAAATATGTTAGGTTCGAGAGAGCAACAAGTTCGGGAACATGGCTCGCCTCTAATGAACTCAAGACAAATGTTATCTCCTCGGGATTTCTGGCGAGAAATGTTTTCTCGATAGACAAAAAATAATTTAATTGAAACAGCGTAAGAAATTGATTGCATCCATCGAACAATGGATGCAATTGGGGGAGTTGAGTAAAATGTCTTCAGCTAGAGAAGACATTGCGTAACATATTAGGTATAAATTAATTTACCGTTTTTGTAGTAATAAGTTGATAAAAATGGTTGACACATGTCTTGAAATATTGAACTTATTTTCTTTGAGAGCGAACAACACACAGTCACCTTTAAAATAAACTTGAAAGTAGTAACAAAACATTTCCATCTAAAATGCAATGACCAAATCACCTAACATACCACATTATTGAACTTATTATAAATTAAAAGGACTATAAGAAAATTGTGTGAAACTTTTTAACGACATCGACTAAAGAACGGCGCTTGGAAGAGAGAATCCCAAAGCACGAAAAATAAAAAAAATATTAAAATCTGAAACTAAACGAGAAGAAAAGTGCAAAAGTAAGTAATGTGTGAGAAAGTTTCCGTTCCAAATATTTATGAAAAAGTTTGTGACTGTAAAATTCTTGCTTTGAAAATTGCAAGATTCTTGCGTAAGGCGATTTCAGAAACAATGTTTGTTCTCCAGAAACACATTGCAGTCGGGAATAAAAATATTTTTTCCATCTCAGGCGTTTAGAACCTACTAACACGGGAAAATCTACTAAAAACTCACGTGCACTGAAATAAACTATTTTTTGTTTGCGTGAGTAATTTTCAGAAAAAAACTGAAGAAAAGTTTCAAATGAACGAATTGTCATCATAAGTTAATAAGCTCTAAGCGACGAGGAAAACCATAAACAATAACGTGAGTAAGAAAGCGACATAAGTGAATTTTTAGTCGTTTTTTCTTAAAAAAAAAAAGGCATTCGCGACGGTGCAATGGAAGTCGAAGAATATTCCGAACGGACCGCGCGCTTGAACAAATTTATTCACAGAAAAGTGTCAGCTCTTGTTCAAATTATACAAAGTACGGTTACTAAGAAAAAAACAGTACTCGGAATTGAGCAGGGAGTCCAGAAGTGGTGCCTCAGAGAACAACGTTGGCTTTATCGGCAGCTGGACGCCGACGCGGCGCATCTCAGTAAGATTGCATGCGTCCGCGGGGACTGGACAAAGAATTACACGAATTTCGGGAGCCTCTTGCTCATTTTCCCTAAGTTCCTCATTAGGAAAACAAATTGGGAACTACAAAAGACAGACGCTCGTCAGAAAAAGACGGTTCAAAACGCAAGCCGCAAGCAAGAATGGGACTCTTTGGAAGACAGCGAGGCCACGAAATGAGTCTTCGTCCATCCAAAACGCACGCCGCACTGTCTACAACTTCTTTATAAAGCAAAATAACTCATATTTTAACGTTCAGACCAAGAGGGCTGCTGCGGCTAATTTGTCGAGTGAGCGTTTTTAGCTGAATAAATTAGGAGGACGAAATTCGTAAAAAATGTTGTGGTGGTAACGTGGAACTTCAACGCAATTAATTCTTGGGAATTTAGAGCACAGAAAATTGTCGTGTTATATGATTTCTGTGACCGCTAAAGTTTTTATTAACAACGAAGAATGTCATGTGGACGTAATTAACGAAGACGAGAAGCATAAGTTAGGCTAATAACTCGCTGGAGATAAAATTTAATCCGCAAAAAACATTCAATTAAACGATATGGACGATAGTTACATATTACTGCTAATATTTGATTAACCTTTTGAGTTGACGCAAAAAATTCTATAAGTTATTTCAGCATTTAAATGATAATTAAAATACGCTTCTGAATAAAATAGGGAAATATTATTATTATTCGCCATTCGGGAAGAGCGAATAGATCTCAGGTGGCTTATTTGAAGTTCTCACGATAATACAAACTTTTGCGAGGGACTGAATGCTCCAACTTTTCCAATTAGTTTGATTCCAAACAAAATTTGCCGTTTCTTCAGGTTTTACTTTTTTGCGAGCAAGATTGGAAGAAGTTAATAATTTTAACAGTTTCACAATTGGACTGAATAGAATCACAAATGTTTAGCGACATCTTGGATAAGCGGAAACATTATCGGTTTTATGAAGCTTTTTTGTATTCATTACTTCAATTTCTCAACAAAACTCTAAAATCAAACACGAACAAGAATTAAACAATTAATTAAAAAAGACAAAATTAATTTATAAACAAAAACGCTGACTTATTTGGGACTCTTGACGTAAAATGATACAAGATTTACGGCATCTATACTGGGTATATACTGTTCCCTCAAGGCCAGCTATGTTCCTGACGGCTTTATCTTCAAGGCAACTTTTGAAAGAGGCTTCAGAATAAGTAAGACCAAAGTTTTGAAAAATATTTACTCCATAGGCCTAAAGAAGATTCCAAGAAATAATGAAAGCCGAGCTTTTTAAAAGTCCTAATCTCGGGAAAGATGAATTTTTAAGGCATGGAAATAAAATATTACACAGTATAGGGCTTGAGCTCGTAAAGCATTTGCCGCGGCTACAGCTACGGGAAGAAAGTATCTTGGGGCTTGTCATTCGAGAAAGAATCAAGTCCAAGAGTTGTGAAAATATAATTGGAGTCGCAATGAACGTAAAGCAGAAGGAAAGATAAAATCAAGTCTGGAAACCTGGCAGCGAGTTTGAGATAAAAGATTCTCAAATGCAGAAGGCTAGAGGAAGACCAAATCAAGATACGCCCATGCAAGTATTCACGAGAGAATCAAGGCGATAGTCAAGGAAAACTCAATTCAACGGCTCGAGAGAGACTAAGTCAAGAGGACTGGCCAAGTATTTGAAAAGAATGCAGTCAAAAATCCGAGAAGAACTATCTCAGGAAACTTAGAAAAAAATAAAGTCACTAGCCCAGCAAACTGTCCGCTGGTCAACAGCCCCTGCCATAAACTTGCAGAAATTCCAAGGACTTTTTCCAGGGCACGGACATGAGAGGAGAAACTTTGTCGGGGAGCGACAAGATAAACGGACATCGCGAAGCCACGGGCCGATCAAACAAGCGGACTCACGGCGCAGTCACAGACCGATCAAACAAGGGGACTCACGGCGTAGCCACGGGCCGATCAAACAAGCGGACTCACGGCGCAGTCACAGACCGATCAAACAAGGGGACTCACGGCGCAGTCACAGACCGATCAAGCATGGCGAGTTTTTGGACAAGAAATGATAAGCATTCATTATGGTGATTATAAATGAATGTGCACTGTGTAGTTGATTTAACCCGCCTTACGGTTCCAGGCCTTCATGTACGAATAACATTGACGATTAACTTAATGTAACTTTCTTTAACTTTGTAAATCCTTTTTTTTTCAATTT